TGAAGTGGTGACTAAGCGAGCACAAGACCAGCCCGGATGACTCATCACACTTCCCATGATGAAGGCTCCAAGTACAGAATCCTCGCCGAAGGCACCTGCCCGCCAGGCACCAACCGCGCACTGCGGCCTCGAGACCAGGACAAGTACGACTTCTCACATTGCAGCCAGAAATTGCAGCCAGAAATTTAAGACCAAGTAACTGCAATTTTCAAGCTTCTTCCAGCGCCGTCTGACCCTCATCCGTCGAGCTCGCCCCCCCTCCAGCACTTGAACGACCGACCGCACGGTCATCGCCAGGCAGGTCCCCTTGTTGCATGAGACCCTGAAGCGCAGCCTTCGAGATGGCCTCTGATGAGCAACCGCAGGACACTGAGTCAGATTCTTTCGCCGAAGAGACTGCCAACCAGGGCGAGGTTCACGCCGAGATCCTGCAGCAATGTCAGTCCATCGTCGGCCGCATCTCGACGTTGATCGATGAGCTCCAGCAGCTCAAGGAGGTTGTCGACCAGCGACCAGTCGTCGGCTCCAAGCCGCTTCCATGGAATCAAGCCATCACGGGTCTCGGCGTCTTTGAACGCCTCGTGCTCTCGGAGAAGCGGAATGTCGACAACATGCTGAAGCTCTGCGAAACAGCGCAGGACGACGACACGGATCTTGAGGTGCTGAACAACAAACTCCGCACCAAGCTCGATGCTTGCAACTACAAATTCCACGATCTCGTCTGGAGCACAGCCAAAAAGTGTCACAATCTTGTCGGCCTGCGACGTGACTTTTCCCGCACCCCGGCTAATCGCAAGACCGACACGGTGATTGTCGATGCCGTCGTGAGTGGTGGTGCTGAGTGGATCAAGGTCGTCAACACGACGGAGAGGAGACTCTTTTACGAGATGACGGATGCCGGGTGGGACTGGGAAGACGACGAGGACACCGACCCAGATGAGCCGCCATTACCGGATGGGAGCGAGAACGACATTGAAGTGGCACGATTCGCCCGTCAGCTTGTCGCCGCCGCCTCCATCACGTACCACGACTACCGCCGACCAACAGTCAGGATGCTCCTGACGAGAATCCGCGAAGGCGAAAACCACCATGTAGACAGGCTTCTGAACTACATCCGAACCTTTGGAGGCGAAATCGACCTGACACTCGAGACTGCCTCTGATACCTCTGGCCTTCTCTCCCAGCCGACACCGTCCATTGAGGATGCGCTCTCCCACCTTGTCATTACCGAACCATTCAGGGACTTCACCACAACCCTCAACGTCGACTGCTCCGTCTTCATGGCTCTGGCATCCGACTTTAGCCACATGGCCATCGGGCCCGATTCAGACCTTCTCCGGTCCGCCCAGCACCTTATCGACGCCCGCGACGAGGTTGAAAACGGTCCACGACTGCTGACGACAATGTACCCTGCCATCACTGGCCGTGATTTGGTATGCACGCAGGACGCCGCCGACACGTTCCTCAAGATTGCCTACGACATTGGTACCGAATCCGAAGTCGCACGTGCGCGCATTCTCTTCGAAGCATCGCAGGACGCACCCGTCGACGCCGATGCCAGAGAAGCCGACTGTAAGCGTCGTCTTGACGAACTCCGAAAGCTGTCATGCTATGCCGTCCCTGACGACCTGCGCCTGCCAATTCGGACCGTCGGCACCATCACGTGGGACAAGGCCCAGAAGCTTGTTGAGGCGCACGAGCTCCCCGAGGTCGCCCTTGTCGTCGGCCAAAAGGGCTCCGGCCTCAACGCTATGAACGTTTCCTCCTTCCTCTACGGCTGGAAGGCCCACCTGACGACCATCACGTCCAACTGGGAGGCCGCCAAGCGTCTCAAGACTGTTATTGAGGCCAACAGGGTCGCCGGCGACGACGTCGTCGGCCCGCAGATTTGGCGCATACCTTTTGCGAGGAAACTGCTGGCCAAGCCGAAGAGCTCGGGCTTGCCGCCGCTGAAGACGAGGAAGGACCGGAAGAGGGAGAAGGTCTCGTCGCTGCAGAGGTGGGCTGCCGAGGACGGGCAGACAGAAAAGGCAACGCCTGAGACGGTCGCGTCATGACCCTTTTCTTCTTTGCGGGTCACGAGCATGGAGGTTTGGTCTACTTTTGCATTGCGTTGGCAGAGTCTGGAGTTTTTGTACATGTCTTGGGGATCGTAGGGATGTCTTGATGTGCCCTGCGATGCTCCCAATTCGCTCTTCGTTTGCGAGAAGTGAGAGATAGAGTCTGGCAGTACTGCAGTTTTCAACTTATTGAGACTGACTGCACAAATTACTCATTCTTTCGTTCCGGTTACTTCAATGACCGGATATGCCATGTGCTTAAGAACATTTCGATCTGGACGAAGGTGTGGGCGTGTAGACAAGCTATCGCAAGTTGGATCGGCCTCTTGAGTCTTGTGGTGGCCTTGGTCAAAGCTGACGAGCACTGAGCCAGACTGCACACAAAAAAAAAAGATCAATCTCAAGATGCCGATATGAGCTGCCCCCCTTTTCCCTCCGCCCACCGATCGCATCATTCCGATTAGTCTAGTGGTTAGGATATCGGCTTGTCATCTTATCAAAAAGAAACATTCGCCGGGGACCGGGGTTCAATTCCCCGATCGGAAGATTCACTTTTGCATTTTGCTTTGCTGCTCGGTTCCACTTTGCGAGATAAACTCCATTCACGCGGCAATTCTCGCAAGGGAAGACGAGCATTGCGAGGGTATCTGCTATGTCCCCGGAAACTCAAGACACTGGTCCCTTAGCTTCACTCCACGATGGTGACACGTACATCACCAGCCTGATACTCTGACCCAGACGTCCACGATCCGTTCGGCGGTCTCCTTTTTACTGGAGTCGACCACCAGGTACCAACCGTACATGGCACCCGTAACGCATGCGTGATTAGGGTATATACGGATGCTCTGGCCAACCTCAAGCGGAATCGGCTTCTGTGAATCCGACTCCCAGGCAAGAATCGAATGCTCCTGGCTGATCCTCTTCACAATCAGCCTTGTCTTGTTCCCAGGTTCAGCTGAGTATGACTTGGGCCCGATCACGCCCCATCCAGAATATGCAGCGCAGGGTTCCCTTCCGAGCCCGAGGGTTCCAACTGCAACGAGCGCTTCGGGCGTCTCTCTCTCGCCGTTATTGTAGACGCTGACGACTTCGGCGACCACGGAAATGGCGACCTCATCATCGATTGCGCCAAGGAAACCTCGTGCCTGGGTCGACATTTGCTGAATATCAAGAAGCGAGTAGACTCCCGCATGCAATTCCAATTTCGTTCGGAACCCGGCAGGAGTATTCTGCGTCACTTGTTGTATCGTCTGGCGAAGGTTGTCTCCGTCAGGCGACCCCGCCGCCGCCGCCGGTCGCGTGAGGTTCTCAATCGACGCGACTTGAGGCGAGGCCCCGACGCTGATGGTCAGCTGCTTGCCCGCTTTGAAATGCATCGCGTTGTTCTGGAGCGCCTCGACGCAGCCCTTGATCTCATCTGCCAGATTGTCCATCGCCTGCTTTGCCGTAGAGTCGTGGTAGCTCAAACTGCTGTGTGAATAGAGCCCGATGAGGCTCGCCTTGCCCTCGGCCTCCAGCTGAGCGATCGTGTCCAGAAGACTGTTCTTGTTGAGCCCCGCTGGCGGGAGGCCGGCGCGGTGGTAGCCCGTGTCGACCTTGACGTAAATGCCTGCGGAAAACCCAGCGAGCGCGTGGAAGCGCTCCACCGCGGCCAGTTGGGACGCATGGTCTATCATGACAGAGACGCTGCCGGGGCCGATGCGTTGTCCGAGAGCAGCCAGAGCCGCGGCCCGCGATGGTGGGAGCGGGATGCCGTAGAGGACGTTGACATTGCGGCCTTTGTCTCTGCACTCCTCGAGAAGCGGCAGCACGTGTTCGAATTCCAGCAGCGTCGAGACGACGATGTTGACATCTTTGGACGTCTCGCCTATCTGGAGACGAGCAGCTTCAATTGTCTATCACCAGTGTCAGCGGAAGAAAGCGGACGAACCGGGGGGGTGGTATGGCTGGCAGCATTCACCTTGTGTGTCTTGACATGCGCACGGAAGCCGACGCCCAGGCTGTCGACAGCATCCAGCATCGTCTTGCAGTGGCGCTTCAGGGAGGAGACGTCGAGGACTGCTGCCGGCATGGGCAGCTCCGTGATGAGTTTCCCGACATAGAACCGGCGCAGTTCTTCGACGTCGGGCGTGGGTCTTTGAGGGGCGGCCATGGCGTTAAATAATCATGTATGAATTTATGTATTCAGGATTCATGAACTGAGTACGGCCTATGAACGATGGTCATGTTGACTCTAGGTATACAAGTATTCTCGTCCTCTTTATACTTTGCTGGCGGCCTGGGCCCAGCATTTGATCCTACCTACGCAGTGAGTCGATTAGCGGTTGGGGGGTTTATTCAGGCGGACAAAGACAAGTCCGCCAGAGCCCCCAGATGACAGCCATTTTGAAAGATAAAGCGCAGACTTTCTACGATTGACTTATCGCCATTCAAATTCTTCAGCGAATCACTGTAGAAGTATGGTTTATTCAGGCATTTGAAAAACGTCCTCCTGGGCTGTGGTGGGCTCGTTCAACGTTCGGCGTATGAATCATGGGGACGGAGTTTGCATTGTCCGCACAGCCCCTAACAGACGCCCAGCGATCGATGGAGTATCCGCGGGTTTGGACATGCTTCTAGGAATGATTCACTGCTCGCAATTGAGCACAAGTTTAACATTAAGTAGCTGAATTTATTTCTTTTCTCCCACAACACGTTGACTTTTTGTGGTTGAGAAAGGCGAAATCGGATCCGTCGTCCAAAGTGTGTAGTTCAGTGCACCCGTAGTCGCGGCACTGTGAGCCAGGCCGTCTCTCTAGGCAGACAGAATCCCGATCTCAACATACCTTACTTCTAACTAGAAAATTGAACTGATACAAAAGGGAACGGCATCTTGAGGACGGCCACGATCAGGATCGTGAGCATCGCTTGCCAGCATTGTCAGAAATCCTTCTCATGCAATCAACAGCAGAAAAGTCGTTTCCAGGGAGAGCGTGGGGCGTCCTCGTGGGAAGGAGGCTCGACGAGCGCAGTTTTCTTCATGGGGCCCATCGTTCCATACCCATTTCCCGTCGAACTCATTGCCTTATGAGGGTTGGGCTGGGATGAAAGAACGGCGTCATCAGTGACTCGTCCTGCAGACGTAAAGCTGTCTGCTAAACTGTCCGCCAGGCTGTCTGACTGTGATGGTGTCGGTGTTGTCTGCTGTGTAATGTGTACCGAGGTTGGCCGGTCATCCCAAACCAATGTGTCGGTGGTACCAAATGTAGGTGAATCTGGCAACTCTGGGGGTTGGAAATCGATACGCGTGAGGCCGAACTCTCTCTCCGTTGGAGTTCGAGGGCCGTTGCGTGACAAGTCTGGTGCCGATATGCCTGCAACACCTATAGAATCCTGTGCGATTGACTGTGCCGCCATATTGATCGCGACTGAACGGATGCCTTGGTCAAGAGAGATCTGAACGCCTGATTGTTCGATCATGGATCGGTTGTCGATTTCCGAAAGGTTTGTATCCGCTCGTCTGGGTAGCTTCGATTTCACGATGCCGTAGGAGGGGTCGCGCTTGCAAAGTTGTGCCAGCTTCTCGAAGAACTCGACAATCTGTTGTGACTTCGCTCGCTTGTTCGGATTCATTCGCAGCATTTTATCTTCGATATAGTCCAAAACATCGAGTAGCAAGTCGCTACAGCTTTCATCTTCCCGAAGAAGACGTATTTCCTAGCAGCTCAGATGTCAGCGGCTGCAAGCCTTTTATCATGAGTGCTGGGCAACGCACCTGGGCTACTGAGGGCTTCATTCTCGCAGTTCTGACATTCTGTCCATCCACTGTTCCCACCTTCTCGTCAAAGAATGAATCGTGCCAAATGGTGTCTGTGGGCGAGTTTTCAGCCCGAGGATACGCTTGTACCTCACTCCCGTCAGAGTCACTGATCCTCTTTCCAGCAAATTCGTCAACGTGATCCCATCCAAGGAGATACCATCCCACGAATTCAAGGAACACACAACCCAGCGGCCATACGTCGTAACTTGGGTTGACAGATCCATTGACTTTAATCTCAGGGGACCTGTAGCAAGGTGTGAGACCAAAGTCAGGACCAACAGTCTCCTGTATGGACCGAGTTCCATGACAAGCTGCCAGACCAAAGTCAGAGATCTGGAAGTTCCCAAAGGGATCTCCTTTTCCCTTGAAGCAGAGAATGTTACCAGGCTTGAGGTCGCCATGACGGCCATATACAAGCTTAACCTTCCCTGGCAACTGGAGATACGGCTCCTCATCGCTCGTTGGCTGATGAACGGCATCCACACCTTTAGCAATGGCGAGGAATTGTCTCATGAGCCATAATGGAAGTGTTTTGTCCTTATCCCGCAGTCGTGACTTCGCGGAGTGGTTTTTCCAGAATGCTTTGAGGTCGCCGCCGTCGGCCCAAGGGAACAGAAAGCTGTATTCCCCGTCTTTTTCATAGCTGGCCAGCATTGTGATCACGTTTGGGTTCTTGCGGACCCTTAGTAGATTGTTACGCTCGTTCCAGAAGTCATTTTCATACTTTTCCGGGGAAACAGTTCCTTTTTGAAGACGTTTTCGGGCGAAATATTGACCTTGGTCGTCCTTTCACACGGTTAACGCTCATTCAAAAAAAAAAAAAAAAAAAAAAAAAAGAAAAGAAAAGGACACAAAGAGAGCGGACGAAAAGGAAAAGGCAGTATTCAAGAAATTTACCTTCTCGTGAGGATAGTTGTGATGCGCAGGATGAACCTCAATCTTTTCGATCTCTCCGGAACCCCCATAGGCCTTCGAGGTACTGAAATCACGGCGGAATGGTAGTATAGTCTCGCTCCGTAACTTAAGGTGAGGACACTTATGATCAGAAATGTCGAAAAACGGAGCAGTCATCCTCCATTGATAATGATTGAAGGATTCCAGAACCCTTCCCTTCCAGTGTTTGATAGGAAGGGGCTCCAGGACTCCCCCGATCTCCCAGGAGATGACGTGTTTCGAATAGTCGATGGCTAGAGGAAGGTGACAGTCGTATATGCCATGCCCAATGAAAAGTTCAATATCGCCTACGTTGCCTATAGATGCTAGGATTGCGAAGATCTTGCGCCGACACGTTTCTCTCATGGGCCGCCGCAGGTTTTTGGACTGGCCGGGAGAGTCGCGAGGATCTGGTACTTTGTGCCTGTCCAGAATGGCATCTGTAATTTCTTGCAGTCTGGTCTCGGGGTACCTGGAGGAAATGTTGGAGATTTTCAGGTGTCTCTTTACTCTACTCTTGACCATCAATGCATCCAGCTTATCGAAGGGCAAAAATGGTGCAAAGCCTTCCAGATGCTGTGCGTGTAGGACCAGATCATCCAAGCTTTCATCTGGAGAGGAAGTGCGACCCTCCGAGTTGTAGTCGGGGATGTCGAGAGAGCTGAAGTCGCCATAGACATCAGGCGCGTTGTCGGTCCTCGGGTCAATACCCTTCAGAAGGTCGACCGAAGAAGAACCCCCTTTGTGGGCCGCACCAGCTTTTGCAAATGAATATTTGAGCTGGGCCTCTTCTCCGTTGTCGACGACCTCCGATAAGTTCGAGGTGATATCACTGCGCGCAACACCGACATCTTTTGTAGTTGGAACATAGCCTATGTCCTTTGAATCGACATTGTTTTCTGCCCTCCAAATAAGAACAGAGGGCAAATTCTGGCGCTGGAATGAAGGACTCTGCAGTCAAACCCCTAATTAGCTTCTGCTTGGTATAGAGCCCCAGGAAACAGCTGAGACGTGAATTGACACCTTCGTGAATGAATATTTACCATTGAAGCGGAGTCTACGAGCCTCTGTTTGCGTCGTTTAGTTTGGAGTTATCACATCCGTGAAGCACATCACCTGAGTTACACTCATCATGGCGGCGGAGCTGTTAGATGTCTTTTATCGGATTGAGACTACCGCTTGGCAGCAAAGGCTAGACCATGTCATGCGCTACCGACGTCCAGATAGGTAGTGGAATAACTCCCTGCAGTGTCCTGGATTTTTGGTGTGGTTGCAGGAGGGCTTCCTGCATCGAGTATTGTAAAATTAGTTACATCACAGCCTTTCCAAACATCAATTTGACGATCAGGCTGCCTGGGGCAGTGCTCAAGACTGAAGGAAAGGCATGGTCGAGTCGGCGAAAAAGCCCAGCAGCACAACGTATTGCAGCAGGCTGAGTGGGTTACCTGAGATCAACACAGCATAAAATGGCGTGTGCTGGGTGATGGTGTGACTGGTATCAGGCTGTCGCCGAAGGGGACGAAGTCGTTGATGGCGCCAGTCCGAACGCCCACGAGAAGTCGCCGCCCCCATGCTCAACTTTGGGGGCCTGTCAGCTGATGGGGGCCAGACCCTTGCATCACGCCTTTTCGAATACTACGGCCAGGACTCCTGGGAATTAATTGCCCCCATGGCTATCTGATGACACCGAAATCGAAGGTGTGTCACACTCACGGAACCGCCCTGGCGCCTACTTCAGGCCTCCAATCAGCACCCCATATCACGAGTGACATGCCGTCAGCAGCCTGGCAAGGCAATATCACCGAACCAAGATGTGGGCGGAGTAGTAAGTTCGTGGCCCTTTGATTGGAGGCTCCAACAGGTGTTGGTTGGTTGTCTCATACGTTGATTGGCTTTCATTGCCTGCACACCGATCCTCGATCAGCACTGCCACGGACTTTTTACACTTTGCGAAAAGGATTGCCACCTGTCTCTGTCGGGAAGCATGTGCTAGACGCCGAGGAGCTGATTCTTGGGGCCGTAACCGGCGTTGCCTCATATCTGCTCCCACGGGATTATGCGGCCTGATCCCCGAAGCCCCGACGTTTGCAGCTTTATGAGGCAGCTTTTCGCTGGATTGAAAAGGCAAGTCTGCCTTACCTGAATTCATCAAGAGACAGACAGAATAACTTAAATCGTGGCAATACCCTGTCGTCCTCACGTAAGAGAAGGACGGCTCCTGATTAAACAACCAGATACAACGCCTAAAAGTCCTCACCCTCGGTAGAAAACCGTCCAAGCGAACAACGTTTACGGCCATGTCTCAGGAAACATCAAAATACTGCAGAAACCGAATTGACAGCATGCCAGTCCAAGAGACCTTGCCGACGCGGGCTACCAGTCCAGATCGCTTGTTCCGAGCACTCAGGAACAAGTTTGGGCCTGGGGGATTCGCCGTTGAGGTTCGCCACGACATGTACAACATCAGAGCCGCATCACCGCTTGAGATCGTAAGTTTGCAGTCGCCGCACATGAAGAGAGAAGTTGTAATTCTGACGCACATGCAGAGTTGCGAAGGGCATAACCCGATCATTAGCTGAGGGCAGAAGACGGCAGTGTGGACACCCATCACCTCTAGAATCCAGCTTTTGAGATCATTTGTTTTCTTGGTGTTTATCGGCAAAGATCAAGGTCCCCGTTGCTGTGGTCTAGGTCCTTCTTTATCATGGCTTCTGGGAGGGAGGAAAGATTGGGGGCGGGGGTTGGCTCATGGCACGGGAGATTGCGTGTGACGGGGATGCACTAACAGCCAAGATGAATGATGAAGATATTGTTCAGCAGTGTTCCAATCAGTCAATTTAGCACATCTTGCACGTAAAAAGAGCCAAAGAGTACACAGGCCATCGTCTATCACAACCTTTCAGATCTGCTCGTAATGTTCGATTGCCGCCAGCGACATAAGCTGCGATTGTTGTTGCTTTAGACAAGTGAGCAGCTCAGAACGTCAGCATCAGGAGAACAAGGAGGTAGTGCGTACCGCGTCGAGCTTCCTCGGTATTTGATACTGCCACCTGCCGCGCTTACGCTGTTTCATCGGAAGTCCGTTAATACGACCACAGGGATGAAGACTGTTGAGGCGAGGCGGGGTTGGGGGCGGGGCGGGGGCTTAGACTGTGCATCGCGATCCCTCTGGGCGGTGTCGACTTACCTTCACTGTGAAAGTACCAACACCAAATAGTTGACAAAAGAAGCTCTCAATGTTAGGCCCTTCCACGTATGTAGCTCTGATGTACGCGACGGCCATTGCGGAATGTGCTCTGCGTGCACCCTCGATCATGGACTGCGATATCTTGTCTTTAGGATAGAAGTGAGACGAAAGGTGGGAGGTGATGGCTGCCCTCCTAACCACATTGTATGGAGTAAAAAGGCTAGTGAAGTGTATTTAAACCAAGAAGTTTCTACCACGTCTGGGCACAGCCTGCTGGAAGCTGTGTCAGGCGACGCGGTAGGCAGCGCACGCCATCGGCGGCAGGCTGCATGGGATGGAGGCAACCTCTTAGGAAGAGGGTGTGATAATGCAGCATTATATATGCACGATGAAGTGTCCTTAGCACTGATGACCTAGCCGTTAGGCGAACTCGTGGGCTGATTAGCCTTGCACATGTGCATGCTTGCCAGAGTGAATACGCATTCGGACACCGAAGGCCCCCTTTAAAGGACAACACAACATGAGCATAATTGGCAGCGTATACCTCAGATATATTTCCAGCGTCCAGTACAGGCCATGAGTAAGCCACTATAGCTGCGCATCCATCATTCTCTCAGTGGGTCATGCACTAATGGATTGGGTGCGGGACTTCTCAGGCTTGAACGCCAGCGACTTGGAGCGGTGTTTTCAATACCACTTGAGGAGCAGCACAGTCGTCAAGCTCTCCAGCACCGGCAAAGTCAGTTTGAAGAAGATTTAGAAACTCATTTACCTATCATTGGGATTTCAAACTAATTATTCAGTTGCTTACTTGGTCGTTGAGCTCGGAAAAAGACTGGCAGAAGTGGCTGGACGATGCGAGTGCTCCTACAAGCCCATACCATTGTTCATTGTTAACTGTAGCGCCATGGACAGGAGGTGCCAAATATAGACGATAAAAATGTCGATGGAGGGTTGATTCTTCTGTGAGCAAATCTTGAGGAAATCCTTATTAAATAACACACGTCCTAACGAATCAAAACAAGTTTGACAAGCCGATGCGACCGACCGAAACTGACTGTTGGGCCCGCGGAGCTCTTGAATGAGAAAGAAATGAACGAGAAAGTCTCAATCGCAGACGACTCAACTCTGTGCAATCCGAGCCGATCAAACACGCAGAGGTCCGAGGTTGTGCTTCAGGGAAAAGAAGGGCAAAACGACTCAGGTTCAGGAGCAAGTCGAAGCATTCGTGACTTGCCCTTTACACGCAAGATCTTCGAGACCATCATAAGAAGATTCCACACTCACGGCACGTTAACCAGAACCATCACCAGGGCCGATGTTTCGGCATTTTCAGCAAACAATGTTTGCATGCAGTCAGCTGAAGGCGATTCCTACCGTTCATATGGTACGTCCACTGGTGCTTGTCAACATGACGAGACAGCATGACTGATTGCAGTTCTCCTCGGATAGTCTACAACGCGCGAACATCCAATGAATGGGAGGGAGATCTCGCCATGACAGCAACTTACTTTCCATGTCGTCAGCTCACATTTGGAATTCTCCTTGGCTGTACCGAAACAATTGAAGATAAAGTGATCAAGCGGCTGCGCCTGGTCGGGTCGGATGCGACTCATCCACTGATTCCATTTGGCATCATGGCTGAGATTGAGCGTTCTAGGCATATAAAGCTTGTAGAGGACTCCATTGATGGCCTGGAGACGAATATTGATCAGCTCAGCGAACGGATCGAAACCCGTGGCGAGACAAGCCAAGAAGAGGTAGACAGGCGGAGCCGCGATCGAAAAGAGGCATGGTTAGACGCCGCCCATCTGAGGAATGTGCTCATAAACTGGCAGAACCAGCTCAAACACATGACAAGACATGCCAGGCTTCTGCAATCAGCGCCGACGATCAATACGCCGCAGACAGCAACCACCAAAGAAAATGGACACGGGCTCCAGGATACCCAGCACAACGGGAACTTGGAGTGCCGAACTCTTGAGGCAAGCAGTACTCGCATAAGTGACCGACTTGAGGCCATTGTGGAGGAGTATGACGAAAAGATTCGTGACTCGGCCATGAGGCTAGATGGTATGGCCATGGCGACACAATGGGTAAGACAACAACTTGCCGTCATCCATTAAATGCATGACATCTGGCTGACATATCTTTGGCAGTCATATTCGGACACCAACGTTGAGATCGCTCTTGCAACGACCCGCGATTCGAAGCATATGCGTTCTATTTCGCTCATCACCATGATCTTCTTACCGGGTACCTTTTTGGCTGTGAGTGATTGCCCAGGTGGCACGATGTCTCAAACAACTAATCACGGCCGCTCCAGACCATCTTTTCAATGACTTTCTTTGATTGGGGCGACGGAACAGGGAAAGCGAGGGTGTCGGGCATGATATGGATATATTTCGCACTTGCCTTTGGCTTTACTGCCGTTACTCTGGGAATCTGGTATTTTTGGACATCCCGTAGGCGTCGTACCGAGAACATATGTCATTATTAGCGATGGTGGTCTCTATGAATACCTATTAGACGTGCGATCAATATTATGTCAGAGAACTGCAATTCGTGCCGCCGATCGATGGCGTGTCCGGGTCCCTGAGACCTGAGCAAGTTGCGCTGCAGATACTCCACCACGGAACCTCGTTCATTGGTCAAGCAGAGGCTGAGCAAGGTCTTCGATGACCGCGCTGATAGCCTGCAGCCTGCAGCCTCATGCAACTTGCTCTACAGAGAGAATCCACTTTGCTGCATACCTGGAAAACAAGCAGGCTGCTCCCGACACCGACGGGCCTGGCATTCTCAGCCTTTGTTTATCTTGAACACCTACCTGCCTGGCAATCCACCCTAAGTCTGGGTCCATTACTGTTGCATACATTCTACCATCAAACAAGAGCAGACCACACAACGATGAAAGCATCACCCCCAGAACTGTCATCGGACGACCTATGGGTACTGCTGCACAACCACAAAGTGGAAGGCCTGAAGGACGATGAGTCGTATTGGCCCCTCTCCACCCTCAGCACATGCCTGACGCCAGAGGTTGTCTCGAGAAGCCTGACTGTACCCGAAGGCCCGAAAAGCGAGCTGGACAGAGAGTCCCTTGTTCGCCAGATATGTTACCCTGATCCTGAGAAGGGCCAAACATACATCCAATTATTTGCTCTTCTCGTTATGTGCGACAAGATCGGTGATGCAAAAGTCATCTTCGACAAGCGGGGCGGCATTTGTGACGCCGACCTCCCTCTGCATTATGATCACAAGGCCGAGAAGCCTTTGAAAAGGAAAGGCACAGAAGCCTCGTTGGAATGTTTTATTAGAAGTTCTTGGAGACGGAAAGACTCAGACGCCTTCGACAGATGGCAATGGCATTTCTGCCCTCATGTATTTCGGCGCAGGGAATCAGAGGCTGCACCTCACAGCAGGCTGGGGACCAAACACATACTTCCCTGGATCTCTCATGGACCAGTCAGCAAATGGCTTGTGGAGGACGACACTCGTGGTGGTGCTTTCAGCGATGTTTTTAAGAGAATGTTGCATCCTGGTTGCCACACTTTCGACCCGCTGCTTCAAAAGGGAAGTGCCTTTGAACAACTCTAATTCTCCTACTAACAAACCTTCAGCTAGACTTGAAAGCAGAATTCGTTGCAGTGAAGAAGCTTAGGGGAGGCCGTGAAGACAAATTCCGTCAGGCGCAGCGTGAGGCCGATCAGCTACGCCTCTTTGACGGCCAACTCCATCCGCACCTGGTCACCTTACTTGCTACCTACGAGATTGAGGGTGAATACTTCTTTCTCTTCCCATTCGCGGAATATGACCTGCAAGATCTGTGGGACAAGGAAGCACAGCCCAAAGATATGCAAGACGCGGCGACTGTGCGGTGGCTTTCTCGCCAGATATGTGGACTTGTTGGAGCGATGGCTCAGATACATGAGCCACGAAAGATCGCTCCTGGAAAGTATGGCCGTCACGGCGATATCAAACCTGACAACATCTTATGTTATCGTACCCACAGGAGCTATGGGTGGCATCTTGTCATTTCTGACCTAGGCGTCTCCGCGCTGAACTCGGAGAACTCTCGGTCTAATGTGCCAGGGGAAGCCATTTCAGAGATTCCCGAATATCGTCCGCCAGAATGCGACGTTCGAGGCGGCTCTATCAACAGGCTTTTCGACGTGTGGACAATGGGATGCCTCATTTTCGAGATGCTGGCACAAGTAGTAGGTGGGAGGACGCTCCGAGATGAATTCGATCATAAAAGAACCACATTTTTCATGATTGGTGGGGGTAGAAAAAACGTGTTCTACGACCTCGTTGAGCTGGAAGGTGGTAGCTTCAGACAGTCCGTCAAAGCAGAAGTGCTACAGGTGAGCAAAGTTCTGACACCATCTTTTATGTTGCACTACAAGCGCTGAGTCAAAGTTTTGAGCTTGCTCTGATATGAACGTGTCCTGTGTAGTGCTTCGACACTTTGAGGGCTGATGACAGGTCATCGCAGTACATCCGAGATGTCCTAACGGTAATTGAGGATCAGATGATGGTCATTCTCCGGAAGGACAGAACCTTGGTCAGGTCGACTTCAAACGAGCTGGTCAAGATATTCGATCATCTGCACGACAAATGTCAACGGGACGAAGAATACTGCGTTTCACAGTCGAATCCAAGTTTTCCTAATGCGAACAGGGAGCCCATTGCTGTCTTGGTAGAGCTCAATAAACGGTCTCTCAGTCAACTACAAAGATGGCCTGTGCAGAAGCGTTCCGGCCGGGAAAGAGTTTCCATGGATGCTAGCAAGATGAAAGAGTTAGACTTGGTTAATCCACGGGACGGGACAGCCGGTGAGCAGTTGGGAATTCCTGGTCAGTAGCGCCATGGGAGTTATCGCCAGTGGGTTGGGTGTATCTCGGAAACAGAAAGAAGAATGATAAAGCTAAGGGACAGCAACACAACTTCACCCACGCAATGTTTTTTAATTAGGCTAGGCTGGCGAAATACCTTGTCGAGCCGGCCACGGCGCCGAGAATCTGCTCGTACGCATGGCCGCGTTGGGGCGCGCGCAAGCACACTTCGGGACCTCGTGTCTACGTGTGTAACACCGAGCAAGGAGAAGAAGTGCGGCAAGAAGAGGGTAGTAGAGGAGGAGTCTTTTGAGGACTTTCCAGCCCTAGACTGTAAGCTTGAAAAAACGTTGAGGCTTCAGAATCGCGCAAGCCGTGCTACATTTTGTAGGAATTGAACGCTGAGGTAGGATAGCGTGTGGCCTCGCCACCACAAGCCCAGTGTACAGTCGAACGTAGTTGAATATCGCAGCATTGCCTGCCAGAGACTAGGACAGGGTCAATAGCCACTAGCGGCTGGCCTCGGCCACCGATGCTCGCGGCGGGTGTGACGTCCATTTTGACGACTAGGAACGATGCATTGTCCTACATGAATGGAGTGTCATACCAAAGGATTGACCGCGTGCATTGGGTGCCGTTGTCAGGCAGGCAATTTCATTAACATGGATTTCCGAGCGCATCTAGCGCAGCCAGATTTCCACATGCTCTTCCGTCGAACCGTGCGTGAACCCTGTTGCGGCACAATCAAGCAGCAATCTCAGTACACTCTGGGGTAAATCGCGATGGGTTACATCCTGTCAGGGATCAAGCACTGCATCTCGAGCAGCCCCTGTCTCGCGGGACTGGTCCGCGGTACCCTGGGAAACTCAAATGATCCGCCGGGAGGCCAATGAACAACACAGGTGGGATCAGAGTCGGCCCGTCGCTTGCATTTAGCCAAAAACACCCCCTTCCAGCCCATGCCCGTGATTAAAATCACGCACTGATGCTCAGCTGCATCGTCGAGGCTTGCGGTAGATTCTTCAATGTAATGAGACATCCCGAAAGAATTGAGGAGGTTATTCGTCGAGGTGTCGATCTTTTGGGGCTCGGCGCTGGCACTATTCATTGCTACCTACGTCGCATGGAGCCTCCTTGCCTATTTTCAATCTCCCCTGCGTCGATACCCTGGGCCTTTCTTTGCGAGTAAGTTCGCATAGAGCCTTCACGGCTCGATCCTAAGAATTTGGCAGCGTGAGCGTACTATGCGTGCTGACGACAGTATAGAATTTACCAATCTCTGGCGGATTACCATACACTGCGTGGCGATATCCACCTAGTCAACCTTCGCACGCATCGAAAGTATGGCCCTGTGGTCAGAACAGGACCAAATAATCTGGACCTCGATGTGCCCAGCTTGGTTAAGACCATCTACACTACAGACCACAAGTGGCTGAAAACGGAATTCTACAAACCAACGAGCAACGTCGTCAACAGAGAACCTATGCCCAATCTTCAGTCTCATCGACCCGGCCGAACATGCAAGGCAGAAGAAGCCTGTAGCCCAGCACTAATCGATGACAAGTGTGCTTCAGCTAGAGCCACACTTTGATGAAGCCATTCGACTGCTGTGCTGTCAGCTTGAAGGGCGTTTTATGCACAGATGGGTTCACAATCGCTGTGAATTCAGTTTCGAATTCGACTTGGGGCAATGGATCAAAATGTGTAAGTCACAGAGCTCCTCTTCTTGGAATCTTCCAAGCTGACAGGCTGTGCAGACGCATGGGACGCCATTGGCCAGATCACTTTCAGCAAACGCTTTGGATACCTCGAAGCAGGCAAAGACTTTGATGGGCATCTATGGTTATCCGAGATGGGGTCTGACTACCTTGCCGGCGTCAGCCAGTTGCCCATCCTTGATCGCTGGCTCGACAAGAACCCCATCATACCAATCGGCGGTGCAACCGTGCTACTGGGACCGACACTACAATGCGTGAAAGATCGATTTCAGGGTCGAGACCAAGCCACCCACGATGAAAGCAAGCCTGACTTTCTAGACAAGTTCATCCAGGCGAGCTCTGAGAATCATGATGTTGTCGACGGCAGGCAGATTGTCAGCTACCTTGCCATCAACATGCTTGCTGGGGCTGATACGACCGCGATTACCATCAAGGCGGTACTCTATTACGTACTGCGTACGCCTGGTGTGCGGGCGAAATTAGAGGCCGAGATTCTGGCCACGGAGTTCTCAAGACAGCATAATGTACCACCAGCGCAGCACCCCGACCAAACAAGTCAAATATGGGTGTCGGATTTGGTTGTTTGGTCCTATTTGCAAATATTTGACTTGTTTAGTTAGTAATGAAGCTATCACGATAGTCATTAGCCTACCTAAGACCCAGATTCCGTGGTGTTACGTTGGTGGAATTACCCTGGGTTCTAACGCCCTGCGCGGCGGGTGTAAGCTGATTGGATAATGTATGTGGGGTTTTCTTGATGAAAACTAAGAGAAGCTGGTAGCCTAGTTGGTCAGGATCTCTAGTGCCCTACTAGAAGTTATGGGTTCGAATCCCATTATTAGCGTTATTGTTGAACCAATATTAGGGAATCCTGTGGTTAGGATGGTGATATCTGGGATATCTGGGATCCACTGCTCTCAGGAGCACGTGAACTACGGCTTACATGATCGCTGAGAGCAGACGGGTATATCTGACTCACGTAGGTAGCGGTAACTCAGAGAAGCAGACAACGAAGAATCAACCATCACAAGCCTTATATCAGATACCCTACCAATCCAGTACTTCCGCTGTGCTTGCGAGCTCTGAATAGGTAGGGTATCTGATATAAGGCTTGTGATGATGATCAGAGTAATCTAGAGCACTTTCTTGGCTAGCTGTGCTCTGATCTTCTCAGGTTAGGGGCATGGGGAATAGCCTGGTTCATTGTAACATCTTTACGTGTCAAGCCAAATGTCGTGGGCACTCTGGCATGCTACAGATATTCCCGACAAAAGACCGTCGGATCTTAAGTTTTGTGCTTAATACATTGATCGCTGAATACCAGAGTCCGTTCGCTCTTCCGTTCCGTGTACGTACATGTATAGATACAAGTCCTTAAACCGTGACCAAGCTGGCAACCCATGTATCTCCTAAGCTTGAGTGGTCGATCTCTTGAACTTTGTATCGACACGGATGCTGTGAAGAGGGATGTCGTCGGCGTCATCGTCACCTCGATCTGCCTTGGGTGTGCTCGTCACGGTGAAACCGTACCCCTTGACATCGGGCCTAAGGGCGGCATCAATAGGTGACACCATGGTCGTACCCAGCTCCTCGTTCGTAAATCCGGACTCATTGTCGTCGGAGGCCCGCCGAGAATTTTCGTCCTTGTTTGATCGTTCCAAGGTGGCGGCGGACTTGTTCGCAAAGTCATCGCGGGATGAGAGGCGCTGGCTGAAGTTTCCAGTCTTCTTGGAGCGCAGACCCATGGACGAGGCGCCCCGCGAGAAAGCGTCGCTGAGGTTGCCCTTGATGCCCAGGGATCGTGCAAAAAACACCATGACCGGTCGAAGAGTAGGGAGGCAAGCGGAAACAATACCCGCCGACATTTCGATTGCTGTCCAGCCGACCGTCGGAGCCAGTGTGTAGGTTGGGTCGGTGGCGGAGTAGGTGAAAAGCACACTGGTGCGGTATGCAGATGCGAATACAACACTGGGAATGGTCAGTTGCCAAAAGATCAATCTAGACTGGGAGAGAAACGCACAAGAATCCCAAGCTGAATGCAAAAGTGAGGCCAATCTTTTCAATCTGCTTCAGTTGCAGTTTCCAGATGGGCGGAATCGGCATGAGAAGGATGACAAGATCGGTGAAGATGGTCGAAGCCGCGTTGGCGATCCATGTGCCGACCTGGTTGATGCATCGTCCGGGAAGATGCGGGTACCAGAGCTTCTCAACCGGGACGCAGATGAAGATGAAGAGAAATGTAATGCAGACTACCCACGCCATGACAAACGCGCCGACACCCCATGCCATCCTCTTGAAGTAGGGAACGCGGAAGATGCGGTAGTACATCAGCAATAGGCTCAGCTTAGTCCAGCCGAGGTTCCAGGCGTAGAGGACCTCTGCTACAACAAGCCATTTAGCCATCATGACAATATCCTCAACGTCCACGAGGTCAGCGTGGATGCCCATGCCGCAAGAATGCATGGCAAAGACGAATCCAATAACGGCAAGGTTCCAGCCCTTTTCGTAGTGACATGTCAGAATTCAGAGCCCAAAAAAAATATACTGGGAAACAATGGATTGTGCGTTGGAGTTGGAAGTCGAACTTACCATCGAGAAAATGATCATCCAATCATCCCACCACAGCTCTTGACCTTTGAATCGCCGACTAAAAAGCCGCAATACGACAGAGGCGAGGGCCAACACGGTCATGGAAACAACAACTTGGATCACCCATGGCTGAAGATTGTCGGGGTTATAGCCCGGCAGGCCTGGAAGCTGAGACTTTGATGACATGTCGATTTGCGGAATGCTTGAAGCGAAGAAGGAGTTGGGAAAGAAACAAACAAAGATGCAAGAATCAGGTCTGATATTTGCGGTGCTCGGAGCTTTTTAGACATATATATTTCACGAATACATGCTACTACTTTACGCTCCCACCCACTGTCCCGTCACCCCCTGACGCTGATGGCAGAGGATGGCTCGAACACGACAGGGATGGGGGGCTATAAAGGATTCCCGGCCGGCAGTGAAGTCTCGCGGTACCTGAAAGGGCGATTGATCAACGAGGACTGCGGAGTAGCATCCACCTTATCTGCTGATGGACAGGCGATGGACCACAAGTACGGTATCATCGCATGCGCGAGAAGATTTTCTCCGGGGGCCCTTGATGTTACGCTGAGGATTTTTTTTCATCGCAGCGCCGCTTTCTCCTTGCAAGAAACCAACCAGTTCACCCAAGAAACCGGTTCCCAGATCTGGACTGACTCATCGATCTGAACATGGCGTTTTTACTGCAGTGCAGCCCGCCTATTACAGCCTTCAGCTTTGGTCACCAACCAAACCCAAATATCCACCATCGACACCCCAATCGACCCTGGCCTGCCCTCCCCTCCCCCTGTAACGATTCCGTCTCCCCGGCATCCGCGGCTGCGTCCCCAATATGATAGTGGCTCGACTAAAAAGAGGCGTTAAGAGCGTTGTGTAACGCGGGCCGCCCCCTTACGCTAGACAAAACCAGTAGCTTGACTCCATCACGACGGCTCTAAGACCTTTTTGGTGCTGATCCGCACAGCCTGACAGGTGGAAGCCCCTCTTCGTGAGGGCGCCAAAACCTGCGGTTCCAGTTTCTCCACACCGAAGCACACGTAGCAGGGTCATGGTGACCGCGGAATGATCCAGGCCTAAAGTTAGGCTACATGTACTAGTCGCAACGCCTCTCGTGACAATGAGCATATAGGGAGGTTGTCCCTGGACACGCCAAAGAGACAGCTGCTGCAGTCTAGTGACGCTGCATAATAACTAACACGGGAGCTCTTTTCTTCAGCACGGCCTCCTTCTTACCCCCTTCGAATCAGTGTTCAGCTGTATTACCTTTGATCGACTGCCTACCCCATCACTGTTGCTACCCAGTATCAGTTCTCAATATGGCTGCCAAGACAACTATTCATGTCCCCCACCTTGGTGGCATCACTGCCGGATATCGGCTTTCCGGGGACGCCATTGACTCGAGCAAGCCCACTCTTGTTCTCATCAACTCGATGTGCACAACTTCTTCGCTGTACGACGCTCAATTCAGCCGCAAGACGCTTACAGACGCTGTCAACCTTTTGGCGATCGAGCCCCTGGGCCATGGCGCCACAAGCTCTGTCTCAGAGCATTTCACCTATTGGGATACAGCCACTATGGCTCTGCAAGTCATGGACGCCCTCAAGGTGCCCAAGGCTTTCGCGTTAGGCACCAGCCAAGGTGGCTGGATGGTCACTCGGATGGCGCTGCTGGCCCCTGAGAGGGTATTTGCAAACCCCTCCCCCGGTGAACCCCCGTCGGGATCGTCACTCTGACCGAACCGCAGATCATCGGCCTGCTGCCTCTCGGCACTTCAATGGACTACGAGTCCGCCGCGTCCCGCGAGAAGGGCTGCTGGGACCCCAAGTCGCAGCTCCTGCCCTTCCTTGAGAGCTGGAGCAGCCCCGTCCCGACACCTGACTTTGTCGTCGACGAAATCTGGCGCGGCATGGTCTCCAGCCTGGGGTTCTCGGGAACCGTAGGACCCGAGACGCTGTCATTCTGGGATGCGACGCTCAAGGCCGTCTACTCCGGCGACGAGGGCCGCAGGAAGCTCCGCATGGCGCTGCTGTGCCTGCTCGAGCGCGACGGCCTTCTGCTGCGGCTGCGGGACATTAAGTGCCCTGTGTACTGGCTTCATGTAAGTTTGGGCTAACCCCGGGGAACCTGAACCATCGCGCTCACCTTGTCTTGCAGGGACCCAAGGACCCCGTGTTTGGCGGCGTTGTGCCTACGGAGCACATCAAGCTGTTCACCTCGTCGCCCGAGGCTACTTTGACTTTTGTTGAGGGCGCGGGCCACTACCTCAACGCGACCAGCCCTCGCGAAACCGAGGAGGCGATTCTCAAGATGGTCAAGAAGTACGCTTAGATAGGCAGATCAGTTTCACGATCAGAATTGAATGAGACCGGATGCGATGACCAATGCATTTGCGATTCATGCGAAATTTGGTGGCTTGACAGGGCTGTGAACTGGCATTAGGTTTCAACTAGTATTGCCCATTCAATGATCCATGTTCGAGCGAAGGCCTCGTCATTGTGAATTTGATTCAGCCGTGCGAAATCTGAGGAAGAAAGAATAAACATTTCTGTAGAAAGCCGAAGGACAGGAAAAGATCTCTCTTAGAGCGATTGGCATGACGATGGAAAGCGACCACTGCTGAGTATACCTAGGTATGGTATGTTGGTGCCATCAAGACTAGCTGCGTTGGTGCGGCGTGGCCCATGGATGCTCTCATCCCATTTGGGTACTCTCTGGTAACTGCTTGACTCGGTCAACTCGGCCTCAAAGACTAAAGAAATCATGCCGATAATTTCGTCGCCCAATCCGGCATTGTTAGCTTTGATTTATCCAGTGCTGCCTCCACCCAAGTGTTGTGCTTCGCACAACGACTTGGCGATGTCATTCGCAGCGACATCGGAGGGCGTGGGAGTCATCTGGCGATGCTTCACGCGCCTGGCGTCGGCTCAAGCTGATTCAGACCAACGAGCACCCGACGTATATAATCCATTTAGTACCAGCTTGGTTTGAACCTTCTCATCGCTCAAACAAATCAGGATTACCTACAGATCATAGCAGACATCATGACGACCTCGAAGCAACTCGCAGCGACGCTGAAGGCGCTGCACGAGCCCTCGTCGCCCCTCATTCTTCCCAACATCTGGGATTACGCTTCTCTGAAGGCGGTCCTCTCCCTCAATGGCAGCGACACGGTCTCGGGCCCTGTTAAAGCCATAGCTACGGCTTCCTGGGCCGTCGCCGAGTCCCAGGGCATCAAGGACGAAGACCTCACATTCGAGCAAAACATGGCCGCAATCAGCCGGCTCGCGCCCCACGTCCAGCCCTCGGGGCTCCCATTGACCGTCGACATTCAAGACGGCTACGGGGCGCGCATCAAGGAGGCCGTGGCGAAGGTCGTCGAGCTCGGCGCTGTTGGCGCGAACATCGAAGACAGCATCCCCGAGCGGGGTTTCGGTCGCGGGATCGAGGGGTCGCTGTACGGGGTGGAGGAGCAGGTGGACCGGCTCAAGACTGCGCTGGCAGCCGCAGCCGCCGCGGGGTGCGAGGGCTTTGTGCTGAATGCCCGTTGCGATGTGTTCCGGCTTGAGCCTTACTGCGAGGCCAATGATAAGGCTGTTCTGGAGGAGGGCATCAAGCGGGGACGCGCGTACCTAGAGGCTGGAGCGACGACGGTGTTCTTCTGGGGTGGTGGTGGTCGAGGGCTACGGACCTCCGAGGTGGAGGTGCTCGTGAAGGAGCTTGGCGGTCGGGTTTCTGTGAAGCTTGGCGAAAAGGACGATTCCCTGACGACGAAGCAACTCGGGGAGATGGGGGTTGCGAGGATCAGCGTTGGACCTAGCCTGTACTCCATTGCCATGCGTGCTGTCGCCGAGGCTGCAAGGAATATTTTGTCTGGCGGAGGGTTCAAAGGATGATCTATACATGCACGGCATCAATCACTTTGTACTTTAAGATGGATTCTATATGTGAAATCGCTGGCATCCACAGCATGACGCCTTTGGCCTGTTCTCCCCTTGCATTGTGCAGTGACCGTGAAATCACGACTCTACCATATTCGAAATCATCACGGATAGCATGGATTGCAGATTAGCTTCAACGCTGGGGACATGGCTGCTTTGCGACTCATGATCAATGGCTTTTGTGTGTCATGTGCTCTACAGCACTGCCACTTCGTTTCCTCATGCCGGTCGTGCAGCTATCAATGTGCCGCCACGTATGAAGGGCCTCAACCGTACCCCGAACTAGGAGTAAGGAGAGACGAGTCAAAACAAGCACATTGCCCAAAAGTCAGGGTCGGGTTTAGGGGCCCAACGGCATGTTGTCCGATGCGGCAGTACTCATGACGAAGCCCGCCTTGGCCAACCACTGTTGATGACCCAGAGACTGTGCGACAGGGGGGTCTCCTTGGAAGCTTGGTTCGGGGTGCCGAGCGTTGATCTCATTGGATTTCCAGCGCTCCCATCGCCGCCGACTGCGTCATCAACCGCTGGCCAGCCTGGTGAGGAGGGGGAAATGATCGTAGAATGGGAATCAAGGTCACGGTTATCCATTCCAAGGCTGGGCTTCTTTTCAAAGGTGACAGGTATATATGCCATTGATCAGATGATGGACTCTCGTGAAAGCCCTCTGGGCTAAAACCCCATCACTCCATCAACAGCAACTCGCTACCACTGACGATTAGTGCTCCAGCCGGAAACCCCAGAAAACTAGGATGCTGTCCACAAACATCATCAAGCTTGCCCTTCTAGGCGCAGCAACCACAGTGCTCGCTCAAACGACGACATTAGCGCCCGTCCTTCCGTCCAATGAGCCGGAATGGCGATCGGACGACACGTTTACCTCGGCAGTACTGGACACGCACAATGATTACCGATCCGAGCACGACGCCGAGGCCCTCGTCTGGAACAACACGCTTGCTGAGTACGCCGAGGAGTACCTCGATAGCGACGGCGATGACGACGACGAGTGTCCCGACTTCGAGCACTCGGACACGCCTTACGGCGAGAACCTGGCCATCGGCCACGCCAACGCGTCGGCAGCCGTCGAGGCGTGGGGCGACGAGCGCGATGAGTACGACTTTGACGACCAGGGATTCGACCAAGAAACAGGCCACTTTACGCAGCTGGTCTGGAAGAATACAACAGACGTTGGTTGCGCGAGGAAGCTGTGTCGCGGCGGCGATTGGAACGGGTGGTATCTCGTGTGCGAGTACTGGCCGCGCGGAAACGTCCAAGACCAGTATGAAGACCAGGTCAGCGCGGGGCAATTCGAGGGGGCGGCCGCCGGCTTGATGAGATCGCACCAGACTGCAGCATTGGTGGTGGCCATGTTGGGCCTGTGGGTCGTTCTTTGAGGGGCGGAAGACCGATTATTGTGACGGCACTCTTACGATGTACACGACTCATAAACTACGCTGGACTTTTTTTTCTCCCTTTACTATGTACACACAATGGTGACGCCTCCCTGATTTCGAGATCGTACAAGTCACAGCCATGAGGGATGGGTATGAGCTGTCGCCGAGTCGCCAAACTCTATGCCGGGTGAGCCACAGGCAGCACACACACACGAAGCTGCAATTGAGGCTACGTACTCTGAAGAAGTATCGGCGCGTTGGAGAACAGTCATGCAAATTGGACACCAACGTAGACAGGGCAGATTAATGCAACTGGCCAAGGTTTCACACTACCAGTAGATGGATGACCTGACTTCCAGATGAGCGGTCTCGCCGCTCGTAAACCAGGAGGTACTGTGGATTTACCGCTCCCGCAATCATCCAGTCGGGCACGACATCGTAGCATTTGATAGGGCCGAAGGGTCAGTTTCACCTGTCGGTAACCTCTGAAGATATCTGGATCAGGGGACCTTTGCTCCAATCAACCAGAAACCGTGTTATAGGCTGCAGGGCTGAAGTCGATAGCTAAGAATGAAATGGGCAGTCGAATACAATGACAACGGCAGCGTGGTTCTCGGTCAAGCTTGACTTGATTCTTCCCAGGCGGCTCTTGTGACATACCTGCCAAAGATAATCACGACAACCAACAAGCTTTTACAGCCGACTTCGCTGTTCTCGACACCATGGCTGGAATGTATCAAGAAGTACTTGATACTACGAGCTTGCGAAATATTGTCAGTGCGAGATTTGAATTTCCGAGCAGTGGACCTGAACATGGCTCGACACTGATATTTAGATTTGCCGTAGCAATCTTGGAATGCCGTACAGCCGCCGCTGGTCGCCGCTGAGAGACAGTCAATATTAAGGTTCTGATCGGACATATCTGTCGCTGGTGTCAATCCATAATGGGTGGTACGCCACACAAATGAATGGATAGTGTCGAAAACAAGCTGCGTCTTGTACGTGTCCCGGATCGTATCTGTTCAAACCCCTAGCAGCAGCTTGGATTCCGGCGACTTACCAGCACTATCTCTTTACGTGGTGTGACTCACCACGGCTTCATTAACATCTATCTTGTCGATATGTCTGCCATTTGGGCATTCGCTGTGCCTTCCAATGCATATCTTTCAACAGACGCGGTCAATTTGTACCAAATAAGCTCAAAGTTTCGCGCCTTAGCTCAGACGCATAGTTTTGTATATAGACTTGTGGCCGGTCACCTGGTGAGCCATTATGGTTTTTGAGCCTTGGCTTAACGCCCAGTTCACCATGAGATTCCCCTTCCCAAGCAGTTCTTTTTGGTACGAGTCTGAGTCCTAGGCGGTGTAAAGATCTCGTAACAAACGAATGCGCCTTTTGGAAGAAATGGCGGTTTATATACAATCCCGGATTCTTTGTCCAGAATATACAAAAGCTCATACTCGAGTGTGTTAATAAAGCATTCCTTTTCAGAGATTATCTCGAGGGCATTGCACAGTCGGGAAAAACAACCAAGCTGAAGAATTAGGCCATGGCGGCCAGGTATGATATCACCAGTTTGGCCGTCCTGTAGGTCGACATGGCCTTTGTCGAGATGATATTATCTCAACTCTCGCCAGAGTGGAAGCTGTATTCATATTCAGACTTCAGATTTGGCCAATCTTTACTGGGCTCAAAGGAAACGTGTGTTGGCTTGTGAACATGTGAGCACCAATGCAATATAGACACCTTCATACCGTTTGCAGTTGGTATACCTGGCAGGACAACCGCGCCATGTACAAAGAATTCAGACCCATGGTCGAGTTACAGCCGCGAAGCCACGACCACACCGAAAGACCTAGAACTATCAATAGCCTAGCCATCCGCGCTTATATGAAGGAGTATGACTCCAACCCCGCGCGTAGTGATGATTTTGATCCAGAGTTACTTGAAACGACCATTCAACAGATCAAAATTCTCTTCTTCGCTGGTCACGACACGACATCATCGGCGCTTTGCTTTGCCTACAGCCGTTGTTACAAAAGCCCGAACAACCTCGGCCGACTGCGCGCTGAACACGATGCTGTCTTCAGCCCCAATCCTTCGACGGCAGCCTCCAGAACCGCAGCAACGCCCGCATTCCTCAACCAGCTTCCCGATACAACAGCCTTCATCAAAGAGAGGCTACGCCTCGACGCTTCTGTCCTCGGTCCAACAGGGCCACCCCGACTTCTCCCTCACGCACCCGGAAGCAAGAAAGGTCTATCCAACCGACGGGTTAATTCTCATTTCGAGCACTCATCTCCCGCAACGTTCGCCAGGTCACTGGCCTAACCAAAACGAGATTCTGCCAGAGCGCTGGCTTGCGCGCGAGGTTGACCCATTGTGGCCCGTCAAGGACGCCCGGCGGCACTTTGACCTGGGCCCGCGTGCTTGCATACATGGTAGGAGAGGAGCTCGTGTTGACGGAGCTTAGGATGATTCTGGCCATCATAGCACGGAACTTTGAGACCGCGCCCCTGTATGCGGAGGGAACCGTATCATTTACCGGCGATGTGGCGTACCGGTCAGGCCTGCGTGACGAGGTAATACCGGATCCGAGGGATGGTATGCTGGTAAAATTGGAGAGAGGAAACACGTTGCTGTTACTACGCAAAGTGTAGATAAACTCGCTACAGATGCGACCTAGCGTCAGCAAGGATGGATATACCATGTCCAACGGCCCTGGACTTCTTGTGTTATGGCATGTGTCTTGTGCGTTTTCACGCGTATGCCGTTGAAGTGGTTGTTTTGCAAATCGGGCTGTGAACGTGCAGTCGAGACTGTGAGTGGGTGCTCGCCAGAGCCACGGAAATATCGACGGCCACCTAGACAAGTGTTGCGTACATGGAGAGTCAACTGCGTAACTCTAAAGCCCCGAGTGTGAAAGATGCCTCAAGAGCGGCCACGCAGGGAAAACCCCCAAGAAAGCACCGTCGGCAGTGCAGGCCCGCGTGTCTTTGACTGTGATGGAACATGCCGGGTTACATGCAAGCCATGTGGCCCGGAGCGAACTGAATCGGCAAGCTTATGGATTAGGCGAGAAAGCAGCGGATGCCATCGACCCTCGACGCGTGGTGAGGAGGGGTAAAATCGCTTTTCCAGCAGTTCAAATCCTGCGGTGTGTGAGAGATCACCTCAGCTCGACTCCGCGGTCTGCCACGTGGAGCACCAAGAAGCCGGCCCAACCGAAGACACTCCGCATGAGCATGGCATGCCGGCGAGATTGCCGCATGTCGGCATCAATAGTCGAAGAATCGATATTGCGGAAAATGGAACCATTGCGGTGATCGCGACAGGCCCTCCGTCAGCTCTCTCCTGCAGGATGCACAACAGCCCAGCTTGGGAAGTGGGAACTCTCCACCGCTCCCATCTGGACTCATGCAAAGGAACAACGGGATTGTTCGTGCTGAATGGTAGGCAAGCACACGTGAGGTGAAGGGCAGGTTACGATGCATTGTGTGATTAATCGGCCCATCCGCTCACTTCGGCGCACTTTGCAACCCAAGAGTCCCCCTCCTGATTGGTATTTTATCTCCTTCAATGTCCCGTCAATGAGACGTCGCGCACCAGGGGTGGGACCAGAATGGCAGGTTGCCTGCCATCAGAATCAAGTTATTTTGAAATGAGCCTGGATTGCTGTTAATACTTGGAAGTTGCCGTATGGAGTAGTCAGTCCCCGCCCAGAGTCTCGTTCTCGCACCAGAGCAATCTGCCGAGCCCAAACCTACATGGAACAGCGCCCGACGACAGAAGAGGAAGCCCGAGAAGGGTTTACTAAAAAAACAAGCACAGATGGCACTGACTCGACCAGCAGAGCACTATCGATCAGCTCGATAGACAAAGTTTGCTCCCACATCTCGCCACGCTCTAGGGTCCAACGTAAAGCCAGACCCTCTTCCTCGGGGCGTGTGACTGGCACTGGTGACCGAGGTGAGCGCGATTGCCGCCTTCCCCGAGTCTGGAAAGATCCCTCAGAATGGTCTCGGTGGCGATCGCGGAGTCTTTTCGCGGGTTCGCTTGACGTCGCGAGCGCCACGGCGGCTAAATGGGGGACCTGGAGCGGATCAGCGCTCTAGCGGCCCCTATGCTGTATGCGTTCCACGTGCTATTGACAAGACTAATAGCTGACTGACGGTGCTATAGCGGTTGGCGAGACAGGGGGTTCGGATTGAGCGGCCGCGGGGGTCTTGTCCCAGGCTGCTTGGTGGCCTTCGGGGTACCGAACAGGGCCATAAACCCGAGCAGCAACATAGTCTACTAAATGGCATATGCTTAGCTTCCAGGTAGGCCCGCGGATGCATGATACCCGCGCCTGGATCTTTTCGGGTTTGTCTTGCACGGAAAGAGAGGCAGTGCCAGCGAAGCACGAGAGAATCTTCAATTACCATGTCCCACGGCGAAACGCCGATCAGGCCTCAGTTTAGGGCCTCTCAAAGACAGCCGGACGACTGGTCAATTCATCGATCACAGTTCATCTCATCGCCCAGATCATACAGATTGATTCGATGATCCGGCCCCTCTCGCGCGAATCCACTTTCTACAGCCATCAACTAGTGTCCGAGACGTTCACTGACGGGCATCGGCTAAAAGATTATTGATCTTCATTGATCAATGCCACCCTCGACGCCGAAGATATGTCGCCGTCCACCAGCCCATAGGACTCCACGTGTACCCCAGTGTCTTATGTACCATGTACATGTACATAACACGTGCGCTGCCAAGCTGACCCCCGGTGGGGTCTGATTCGCTGAAGAATGCAAGATCAAGGGACGCAAGGGGACACTTGGAAGAGGGGGCATACTTGGTACTGTATCTGCCTGTCCCTCATTTAGCAATGCTGTTGGTTCGTTGAAAGCAGTGTTGGCCTCATGTCCCAGGTGAGAAAAGTAAAACTGAGCAGCTCTTCGGATCACCTGCCGGAAAGAATAAGCCACATTCTATGCGCGCAATCTGCATGCCAATTCCACGTGGGCTGGCCGAGATTACCGGAGGCGTGCTGTTGCTGGTCCTGATAGTTGGAGGAAATGAACAAGATGATGAAAAAATAAAAAACAAGAAAACAGAATACGACCCAGCAAAACGTTCGATGGCACATTCCGTCGGACCATGTCTCGCCCGTGCGTCGTGTTCCACGCGTCCGTAACTCTCTTCAGGATGATAGCGGACCCGAGCAGACGTGACGCCCGCCGATAAGACGTGACGCCTGCCGATAAGCTTCTTTAGGTTTCGTTAAGCTTCGCACGCGGGTCCCAAGGCCGCAAGTTGGCCCCAAGGTGCCCTGCCGTTTAGCCTACTTAGTACATTTGGACCTAAGCATCGCAACTTGTTCCTTCGCCCCTCGCCAGACGCAAGGGACCTCTCTAGCGATAGCCGCGCCTCTAGTGGCAAATGCCGTCTCAGCGGAGAAGCGCTCAAACTCCAAATAATGACAGGCAGGTTGCCGTCACTCATGCTAATCCATCCGTCACTGTTGCCGCTGGGCACCTCCCCACCTCACCCAGGACTGTACTACATGCAATCTGTCAATCACGTCCTGGCCGATACAGGGGCTCTGGACAGGCGTTTGCGCTGGGGGCAAGTTGCGTCTGTCATCTGATTCGTGCGTTGGTGTGTTGACAACCGGCGGGGGCCGTTGTTCCATGCCGATTCGATTCGAGGCAGTGCAAGGACTGGGAAGGGAGGTCGTCCCACGGCGGACAGATCAAACTTTCCGCCCGTGGCGCACCTGGCGTAAACGTTACGAAGCTCTAGAGCATCTAGCACAGCTTTTCGTCGTCTTGGCGGCATGGACCAGCTTCCTCTAGACCCGTTCCACGACACCCCCCTATCCCAGTAGACTGGAGAAGAATGGGGTCGCAGTGGAGCAAAGGGGTTTGCGAGCGGACGTTATAGGGCAGAAGTTTGAACCCCTGGATCGGAGATTGACATCTCACGCGAAGGGGTGTCGAGATTAATGCATCCTACCTTGCCCTTGCTTGAGTAGCAGAAGTAGGACAAGTCTACTTTTGCCGTACGAGCACTACTGAATCGGCAAATGTTGTTGGCCAAAAAGCCCGCCAACCTAAAGCTTCCATTAATCATGTGCCCTCTCTCGTCTTCGGCTTGAGAGGTGCCGGCGTAGAGTGGAAGCGAAGCTACAGGGCAGCGAACTGCCAACCTGGCCTGGCCATCAGCTATTCGTAATCCGTCGCCTTCGCGACAACAAACCCTGCATCTGCCCCTCTATCAGTGGAGAAAGTATTGGACTGGGCTTCCCTCTGAACGCAGTAGCTGCACGCCATGTGGTATGCCTGATCCCACGAGACGAAGCGACACGCGGCGAGCCTAGACCAGCCTAGTCGTCGAGGACAACGCAGGGAGGCAAGCTCACCGAGGGCTGTCTACACCCCCTGGCCTGGGAATCGAGACGCTTCATTTAGTACAAGTACGGGGCGATCCCCCTCCCCCTCCTCGCGACTTGTTTTCCAGAAGGCCATCCCTCTTTCGCCCAACCCGGATAACATTCATTACTAGAGAGATCCTCCACCACAATGGTCTCCTTCTCGACCCTCTTCGTCGGCGCCGTGGCCCTTGCGGCTCAGTCCGTGTCCGCCGGCACTACCAAGCCCGCGGCTCTCGTTCCCCGTACCTTCGAAGGCCAGAAGTACGGCTGCAAGTGCTACCCGGGCGACGCGTGCTGGCCCCAGCAGAGCGATTGGGACAGCCTCAACGCCAAGGTCGATGGAAACCTCCGCGTTCACGTGCCTCCCGAGGCTGCTTGCTACAACACCTTCGATGGTCTGCTCGGCTCTCAGCAGACTTACGATGCGGCCAAGTGCGCCGAGGTCACCAAGAGTTGGACAAGTGAGGCCTGGACGTGAGTCGAGAACCTCCTCTTGAATGACGTCTTGGAAACAGCGATACTAACGACAGACCACAGCGTCGACCAAGACGCCCTGAACATTTGGAAGTACTTCACCAACGCCACCTGTCTGCCCACGACCGACCCCTCTAGGTCCTGCACGCTTGGCTTTTACGGTGTCTACGTGGTCATGGCCAAGACCAAGGACCACATCAAGGCCGGTATCAACTTTGCGCGGGACCACAACCTGCGCCTTGTCATCCGCAACACCGGCCACGACTTTTCCGGCCGCAGCACTGGCTGGGGCTCTCTCATCATCAACACTCATTCTTTCCAGGACATCAAGTTCCACAACAAGTGGACTGGTCCCGGCGGCTACAACGGCGGCGCCGTTACCATCGGTGCCGGTGTTCAAGGCATCACTGTTCTCGAGGCCGCCCAGAAGCAAAACCCCAAGCTTACCCTTGTCACTGGCGAGTGCAAGACTGTCGGTCTCGCTGGCGGTTACGTCGCTGGCGGCGGCCACGGGCCCCTGACCTCTGCCTACGGCATGGCCGCCGACAACACGCTGGAGTTCGAGGTTATCACCGCCAAGGGCGATCATGTCGTCGCCAACGAGAAGGTGAACGCCGACCTCTACTTTGCCCTCCGTGGCGGCGGTCCCTCGTCCTTCGGTGTCGTCACCTCGGTCACCTTCCGCACCTACCCCGAGGTCCAGGTCGCTGGTGCCCTCCTTGACATCAACTCCACTCTGACCCACGACGAGAACCTCATCTGGGAGGGCATCCGCATCTGGCACAAGTACGGCAACCACCTTGTCGACAACGGTCTTTACAGCTACTTTGAGATCTTCCCTTTCACCTTCCGCGCCCGCCCGATTGTCGCCGTCGGCAAGACCAAGGATGAGCTCGATGCCATCCTCAAGCCCCTCCTCGACGAGCTGACCGCCGCCGGCGTGCCCTTCACTGTCATGACCAAGGGCTACCCGACGCTCTTTGAGCTCTACGGCGAGCTGTTCGAGGACGAGGAGGCGGGTCTGCACGCCCTCAGCGGCGGCTATGGCATCAGCAAGCAGGACATCGCCAACAACAACGACGGCATCATCAAGGCCTTCCGCACAGTCATGAGCCCTCGCGCCGACCTCCCCTACACGGGCGCCATGATCGGCCACTTCTTCAGGCCCCCCAACTCCAACTCGGGCGCCGCCCTCAACCCCCGCTGGCGCGACTCGACCAACTATATCATCAACACCATGCTCGTCCCCCACACCGCGACCGCCGCCCAGAAGGCCGACCTCCAGACGGTCCTGACCAACAAAATGGACGGCAGCATGCGCGAGGCCGCCCCCGGTGGCTTCGCCTACATCAACGAGGCCGACCCTTTCACCCCCGACTTCAGCACCCACTTCTGGGGTGACAAGTTATACGCCAAGCTCAAGTGCGTCCGCGACAAGTGGGATCCCAACATGGTCTTCTACGCCCAGGCCACCGTCAACACGGAGAAGTGGGCCGTCATTGAGGGCAACACGAGGCTCTGCAAGAAGCTCTGAGGGGGTGAAATGGCTTGATCGGTCATATTGCTGCATTGGATAGCGGGCGTTCATTCATACTTGTTCCTATAGAAGTGATAGACAGGGGCCTCGACCCGACACTTGATGTAATAACACGTGACCCGACGTTGATTACAAAACATTTGGAGAGCGCGCTGCACTGTGGCTGTGATGTGATTCTGGCATGATGGAAATGAAGAAGAAGATGCATCTCCCGGCTGAGAAAGATGCTGTCAATTACCAGCTTTCGGGCTCGTAGCAATGGGCAGCGGACGTCTCAGTCGAGTGAGAATGTCGAGATATTCGGTCGAGTTCGCAGCCGTCAAGATGCCATGCCTCACGTAAAAGTCGAGCATCACCAGCACGCAGTTTGCCTTGAACTCCTCCCTGAGCATCGCCTCCGTGACCTCTTCCACCGACATGAGCAAGAACTCCTCGACCTCATCGTCCATCGGCTCCGGCACCATCGTCTCAGGCATCTCCAGATCGTACACGTACAGAACAGTGGGGAACACGGCGCCCTTGGCATCATTCTTGTGGACGTACGTCACGGCGCCGACGGGTTGGGCGTGCTCTTGGACGTAGTCGGTCGGCAGCGACGCTTCCTCGCCCGCCTCAGCGACGATACAGTCCCACGGCTCGTCGGCCGCCTTGACGCCACCAGCAACAGTCGTGTCAAGCATGCCAGGATACGTGAACAAGTGTCGACTCCGCCTCGGCACCCAGATCTTCAGGCCCTCCGCAGTCCTCACGTACCCTGTCATGTGCGCCCCGCGAGACCCGATTCCGAATAGGGGCGCCGGGAACCTCTCGATGCTGACGGGGTAGTCTGCGCCCATGACGCGAAACGGCTCGCTGTGGCGTCCGTCGACGGACGTGAAGGTGTCGCCGTCCGCCACGATGGCGTCGACCACCGCCTGGAAGGCTCGATTGCACCAGGTGCTGGGATCTGCGCCGGAGGGCGCATCCTTGACCTGGACGAAACGGCACTCATGGTCGACGACGAAGTCGCCTGTCCAGGGCAATCTTGAGACAGTGGCGGGGACGATGAAACCGTGGGATCTTCCGTCGCCGGGGAGTAAAAGCTTGTACAAATGACCAAAGTCAAAGTCGAGTGGCACGCTGTCGGTTCCAACGCGACGTCAGCCCTGGTCGATTTCGAGAGGGGGTGGGCGTCTCACTTGTCAACTGTATCAATCAAGCTCATGAAGCTAGGAAAGTTCCGAAACGACGCCATGTCGTGACTGAAGTTGCCCTTGTCGTAAACTAGGTAGTCTATGATGTCCTCTCGCGCCCCTTGGATGAGGGAAGGGGAAGGCGAAGATGTGGGCAACCAGAATGTGGCCCTCAGACTTTCTTCTAGAGGCTTAGGTAAGTCGATATTATGCAAGTTGCATGAGATGTTGTATTGAAGAATAAAAACCACGATTCGTGCCTAATGGTTGATAAAATTAAATTACACTGCTGTGCTACGATGTTACAATGAAGAGAAATATAATCAACCAGACACACCAAGTGCTCATGCATGTCACACAACCAGGAACGTCGTCTCCGGCCGCCGTTGCACGATTTCGCCGTCCATAATGCCATCACAATATGCCTCACCCACAAACGAGAAGCGCTCTCCGCCCTGCAGGGGCCGGAGAATGTGCGGAATCCTTGAGCCACAGAAAACGACCACGATGTCTCCCTCTGATGTACCCCCAGCACACATGCCCAGGAACCCTCTCCGGGTCACAAAGGGTCGCATTCCAAGGAGTCCAGACACGGCGCCCTGATACGTCGAGTATGGCTTCTGGAAATGTCTCAGCTTCGCATAATTAGCCATCTGCTCCTCGGGATCAGCGCCGTAATCATCTGTCACTGCGATTTCCAACAACGCGATACATCGATCATAATGGAACTTAGCGGCGGATGGCGCTCGGCAAGAAAATATGTCGTCGGCGTCGTAGAGGTCGCCGATCGGCACGCGCCACAGTGCCTCGGCGCGACGCTGAGGGTCGTCGTAGATCGGGTCTTCTTTTGTCATTGCGAGCTCAAAGAGCTTCTGGGCGTCGCGGAAGTTGTTCAACCTGTCTTGGAACTGGCCGCCGTTCCATTTCGAGGTGACTTGTTCGATAGTGTCGACAATGTAGCCGCGGATTCCTAAAACCGAAGTTGACTCGGTAGGCACCAGAGTGACAGTGGTTTCACCACCAGCCATGAACTGGTGATCATCCACTCTGTCATGGATGTGATTGAAGGGCTTCTGCAGCATAGGCCGCCAGTCGGGGACCCACGATGGCAGACGCTCCAAAGCTTGTTCTTTTGGGAACTGGGAATACGACAGTAGTTCGACTCCTCCGCTCTCAATTATAGCCCTTGCCGCTGCTGTGAAGGAAGGGCACGGATCATCATCTGTGTAATCGGGCACGACACCCAGTCGTCCCGCATCAACGGCCAGACCAAGAAGGCCGTAGATGCGATCTGGGATGTATGTGACCAAAGAAGTTCGCCCAGTGAAGAATTTCTTCAAGAGGGCAAGAAGGGTCTCTCCTTGGTCGAGTCCCTGATTGAACCTTTGTCGACGCCGGCGAGAGCCCAGTATGTGTGCAGAGTTTCGCTGCTGAGCGGCAGCCAGAATCTGTAGTGTTTCCGGTTCCGGTACGTTGTTGGAAAGCCGCACGATGCTGGAGTCAAATACGTGGCAGGCCAAAGCAACAAGCTCAACTGCAATGATTTTTGAACCGCATTGAAACACCGCTTCGCGACAGAGGCCAACCTCCTGGATGGTCCAGACGCGTTCAAACCATGACCGCTTATTCCAGGCAATCATGGCCTGAAGCAGAGGTTGGAAGGCCAAGCTGGCTCGATCGACGAGGGCCTTGAAGTTGCGCCCGAGTTCGTCTGAGGGTTTCAAGTCTTGCAACATGTTCTGCAGCAGTGACAGCTTCTCCTTGTTGTAGTAACTCTCAATATCCAGGTCACGCGCTGCTTGGCCGATGTCCTGCCAGCAGTCCATCATCTCATCTGAGCCGTCAGCAGAGGGTCCAAGCCACACGATGACCTGGTCGGCTTTGCTGTAGATTTTCTCCATGATCTGAACCTGGGTCGTCTTCTCGATTGCGTCAGTTTGATTAATGCAAATTTGGTCGATCCATATCATCACGTCTTGTTTGTCTGAGCGAATGTGGCGGAGGGCTGTGTCTAGGGAAGCTGTGATGGGAAGAGCTGCGCCAGCGACATCGATCCAGTGCGTTCTGTCACCGATGCCCCAGGTATAGGACAGAGCCTTGAAGGGACGCGGGCTCGCAATGGGGGTTTCGATCAGGCTGCAGCGCAGCGGACTGGCGTGTTGAAGCTCCGAGGTATCACCTCCTGACCTGAACAGCTGCAGGATGCGAATGTAGCTGCCATCGAGAGGAAGGACAGGGTCATCGTAACTGAAAACCATGGAGGGACGGCCATCATGGTCATGACGGGGTACCATGGCGAGCGCCGTCGTTCGGCTCAGAGGTCGCAGGCCAGTGGTTGACAGCCACTTGGGCGTTGTTAGGTGCCGACCTTTGATGCATGCGCTCGACCGTGCCTCGCCGAGCCGTGCGCAACCAGCGTGGCGGATCGCTTGTGATGATGCTGCTGAAGACAAGCGTCGACAAGTGCGCAGGTGGTGCATCGCGTTGCATTGCAGTTGTCAGTATGGTTGAAGGAGGGAACTGTTCATCAGGCTCGCGTCTGCGAGTGCGAACATCGGCATCCCGGCATCAGCCGCAGCCTACAACGGCAAGGCTCGTGTGATACATGCATGTTGATGGAGTCGCATGGGATTGAGGCTGGCAGTGGACGAACAGGCAGCCTTTAAGGGAGCAGGCTCAGAATCCGCATACATGCATGTCATAGATTATGGACTAAAGCAATGGACCCTGGAAAAGCAGCAGAGCCCCGTTAGTGCAATTTTCAGCTGACCATTCCCACCCCTGTGGAAAGGCTCCATGGCCCAGATCCAAGTCCGGCATTGCACTGACCGCCAAGCTCCTGTTGCCTGTCGAGATCCCCCCATCAACAACGAAGAACCAGGACCAACAAACACCAGGCGATTTTCCCAGTGACATACCACCCGTGCGGTGAAGCGAAACCCTACCATACCAGCCGAAAACCCACGATACCCCTCACTTTCTAATCGCAATGTCGACTACAGAGACGGAAGGCGTCCAGCCGCCGGCAAAGAAGGCAAAGCGCGGCCGAGTAAGTTTTTCCAAAACCCTTTCCATGCCATTCATCCCATTACTTGTGATCCCTGTCAGCTCAAATTCTGACCCAAAAGTCTGCACAGTCCCAAACAGCAAACTCACCCAACGCCAGCCGCATCCGTGAAAACCAGCGCCGCTCGCGTGCCCAACGAAAAGAACTCGTCGAAGACCTGCAGCGAAAAGTCCAAGAATACGAGCAGCGAGGCATTGAAGCCTCTCTGGAAATGCAGCGTGCAGCCCGCGATGTGGCCATCGAAAACTCGAGGCTACGAGGCCTGCTCGCCCAACGGGGCGTCACGAACCACGAGATCGACACACACCTGCGGTACTGCGAGGATGGAATCCCGTGGTACAACCCGAACCAATACATGGCCTCCATCCCCTTTGCTCCCTCGCCAGCGAGAACCGAGACAAACTCGTCGTCTTCACCACTCCATGGCATGACACACGACCAGCCGCCCCTCGACCCTCTGTCGGTCCTGGCCAACGCTAGCACACATCACGACTATGTGTCCAGGGCCTTTGGCGAGCTCAACGCTGCTGCGACACCGACAAAGTACATGGCTGCCGAGCACAACCATGCGACCTTCCCCGCGGCTTCACCGCACGAGATGTCCTGCAATGCTGCCGCTCGCATCATTGCCGACATGCAGGGGCATTCGGATGACCGTAGGGCCAGGACGGCGCTGGGCTGCGGTGCGTCGGCCCGGGACTGTGTCGTGAAAAATGTGACTGTGTTCCGGGCGATGGAGCAATGATGACAGACGGCAAAGGACAGGCGATCGAGGATGACGATGACCCATCCACGACCTAACGCCACCCGCTGGCTCGCAGACAGGTCGATTTTCGTGCTTCATTGCTGCCGAGGCTGCTTCGAAGCCCGGCTGGCTTTGGTCGACAAATGGTCGAGCGAGCTGGAGCGAGCAAAAGTTGCATCCAGCTGTGAACGACAACATGAATAGGCAGGCAGGGCCCCCAGACATTGCCAATCGGACACGGGCCTCATGAAGGAACTGCGCTGGACAGATTCAGAAAACGCCCAAAGAAGGCACCCACACATTGCCCTACTATCAGTGCGGCATTGGGCAATGTGGCATGGCTTTGCGTCGAGAGACCCCACTACAGATCTACGACGCATCAAGATCCATGCTGATGATGTTAGATTCCGTCAGAAAAGAATTCAACATCTCCTCTTATTGATTCTCTTGAACTTCTATTCGTTTTCCGCTCCGCTCCGAGCCGCTCGTCCTGACTTCGCCGATCCGAACTGCCGTGCTGACAACTGACAAACGGGCTGCTGCCCAGCACGAACAACATAAAGCAAGAATTTTTCACCCGGATGCATCGTGGCCCACCACACGTGGCTCAGCTCTCCGAGGACCTGCATTGGTCTAGTCACTTGCAGCTTGGCGTCTTTTTACCCGCCTTGCCGCCCAACCAACCCGTCAATCATCTCGCCCTGGGGGACACGACACCCTGGGTGACAGGCCGGGGCCACGAGTCTTCTCGGTCGGTGGCAAGGACTGACGATTGCGTGTTCGAATCCCTCTCATCTTCTGACGAGTTCGCGTCGATGCTCGCTCGCAGAAGAAGGGGGAAAAAATCCACTCTCACTGAGTTTGACGTGCAACTCAGACATCGCGTGAGCTTTCTCCACATGTTTTGTCGCTAGTCCTTCGCATCTCGGGAATATCGAGATTTCGCAATGAACTCTACCGTCAACTAGCGATCCTTGGCCTGAAGGTTGTCGCCTCCAGCGGCCTTCGGTGATGAGGCACGACCGCGCGACCGAGCGACCGACGCTCCTTATTAACCTTCGTGCTCTTGGCCTTTTGCCTCACGAGGCACACCTCTCCCGACGCCCAAAGGCCCGACAATGACAAAGAAGTTCTTCGGGGAGGTGGGAGGCGTCCCCAGGTACGGCCCCTAGCCCGCCGCCACGAGACACATTGTCTCCATTCCGCGAAGCGCAATACGGAAAGGCCTTTCTTAGCGTACGGATGGTGCACTCTAGCCCAGAGACCCGGTCGCTCCACCTAGGCAATGCTCAGGCTTGTCAGGTAACAGGGACCGCATTTTATGCCGCCAGCGCCCGGGTCACGATACAGATCCGTCCAAACCACCGAGACTCGCAGCCTGGACCTCGCCGGTCTGCGACGCCACTGTGCGTGGAAACTCGCAGTAGTTCCTACCACCACCGTCAATCATGCGAGCAGGACCCAGACGGCATAATGGAGTCGTACGTCTGTTCTTTGAATAAGACTCTCTTCCACCCCGCCTCGTCACTTCTCTTTCCACTGTCTCCCCCGCGATTTTGGGTCACTGGCCTTCCTGATCCATTGTCCGAGGCCCCCCCTCCCCAACGAGGTCCGACCCCCGAAGACGACTGGTCGCACGACCAGACCGACCTGAGGTGTTGAAGCCGAACGGTCGCCGTCCGGGCCATCCGAAACCATCACCTCACCAAAGGAGAGGCTGAGGTTGCGATCGTGAAAACGAGAAGAAGAGGACCAGCCTCGTACCTACAATGGCGAGGTTCCCACCGCCTGAGGTCCTCGCCACCTGGCCCGAACCCAACTTTGTGGACCCCATCAACAGAGGTCCGGCTTTGATGATTGTCGAGCTCACCATCTTGCCCATCGCCCTGGTCTGTCTGGCACTTCGACTCTATGTCAGGTTATGCATCATCCGAAAGAGTTGGTGGGATGACTGGCTGATGGTTGGTGGCGCGGTACGTTTCCCCCCTTGGCTCTTGTCATGGTCACATGTTAGTCGTAAGATGAGTTTGGCTGATCTGTTCACCAGGTCTTCGCTTCTGGAGTCACCGTCTGCGTCATCTTGGCGACCCAGTTCTACGGATGGAATCTGCACGTATGGGACTTGACGCCACAACAGATGCAGCAAGGCCGCCAGGTAAGCCGCATCACGGTGTCTTGGGTTTGCCTGTCGGCTGTGTGCTAACAAGATGTTGTAGATTTCCATTGCTGCCCAGACCATCTTCCTCTTCGCTTCTGGCCTCACCAAATTGTCTATGTTGGCCAGTTACCTGCGCATTGCGCCTCTCGGCTCGGCATTTCGGAAGCTCACATGGGCGACCGTTTATATCGTCTTTGCGCTGATTTGGATCTTCATCATCGTCCTCTGGACACAATGCATGTGAGCCTCGACCCCACCCAGACATACAACGGTTCAATCCCTGACATGCCACCCACCTTAGCCCCGTGGCCCACTATTGGCACCTCTCGCCCTCGTCCGCTGACAGCTGCATCGGCGAGTGGCCCCCTCTCGCCGCGCAGGCCATCACCACGGTCGTCACGGACCTCATCGTCACGGTCCTCCCGATGCCGACCCTCTGGAAGCTCCGCCTACCCGTCTATCAACGCATCGGCCTCATGGTCCTCTTCGGCTTCGGCGTCATCGTCGTCGTCGCCGGCGCCATGCGCACCTACTGGACCAACTACGTCACCGTCCACACCTACGACGTCACCTGGGACGGCTTCGCCCTGTGGATGTGGACCGCCATCGAGTGTAACCTCGGCATCATCTGCGGCTGCGTGCCTGTCCTCCGCCGCCTGCTGCCGCAGCGCATGGGCGGGTCGAGCGGCACCGGTGGACGGAGCACGAGACCCGACCCCGCGGCGCCGCAGACGATCGGCACGGCCGTCACGAGGCCGAAGAAGGGCCCCGCGGGCGCGACGGTCGCGGAGGAGCCGTGGGAGGAGCACGGGCTCGAGACCATGTCGTCGAGGGGTGGCGCGAATACGCCCGTCAAGGAGCCGCCGCCGGGGTGGCTGCCGATCAATGACACGTGGAATCGGGGTCCTTATGGCGTGCATGACAGGGTATGAGATGACCAGGGAGGATGTAATGAATGCGTTGTGGTTGATCTATCTGAGTGTCTGCGCTGCGTGATGTGATATTTGATGCGCCTAGCTGACCTTGGCCCTTGTTCTTAGCTTCTTCGAGGTACAGATGATGGGGGTGCCACTATTGGGAGAGACAGACGTGTCGAAGGCTTCAGTGTGATGTCACCGCTCTCCAGCGGCTGTTGGTCATTAAGATGGCTCCTGGGAAGTATTGTCAACCACCTGGGACCTTGTCATGTTTTCTTCGTCTCCATCCTGGAACATCGTGACGACCCACTTTCCAATGACCTAGTACCATCAGCTGAGGCTTCTGTAGGCTGTGGACGGCAAACCCGTGCTAACATCATGGAGGACCCGTCAATCAGATTGAGACTCTGTAGCACGTCATTGGAATTGGAAAAGGAGTTCCGTTGTCGTGCAGCATGGTGCATTTATCGACAATGTCCTCTTTGCTGTGAACTACTGGGTGGCGATGACTGCCGTTGAAGGACGAAAAGAAGTAAGCCCCAGTAGCACTATTGACAAGCTGAACGTCAGGACGAAGCTTCATGTCCAAAGTGTTTTGATACGGGTCCGGTCATCTTTACTGAAGAGCGAGCCAACACCAGAGAAACGTTATTTTGCAAGATGCTGAGTGGATATAGACGAGGAGTCTCGGCCGAGGGCCAAATGCTAGGGAACTTTTTTCGTGATTGAAAGACTGCCTGCAGCGTTTGTCAGAAGCTGCTGCGGCATGGACTGGCGTCTGCATGAGTCGAAGTGCGTGAGATAGTATTAGTTTCCACGTGTCTTCAACAGATGAGGAAGAGCGGATCAGTTGCGTTGAATCTCAGATGTAAGACACAAATTAGCACCAAAATCGTGCAAGCACCATTAAATCGTACAGAGATGCTGTTCCACATCGCCGTCTGCTCCTGGTGAGATGCGAGACTTGAAGGGGAGAAAACCATGAAAAGCTGAGGCATCATAAGCTTCAGCTGAAAAGAATTGTTGCCTACTCATCTGTTGAGACTGGGACTCCGAAGCACTGTTTCGAAGGCAATGAGGCTAGTTGTCCTTCCCCTTCTACCACAGTGACTTAAACTCAGATGCGTTGCAAGCAGCGCACCTGGGCCTGTCCCCGGACTCTGACAAGCAAAGCAACCGGATCAGCCGAGGCAGGATTCGAACCTGCAACCCACCAGTAGCTTGGGATAGATACTGGATACACAACAGCCTACCAATTGGCCCATTGCATCATCTCGTCTGTTTTGTTGGCATGGCTTTCGTTTGTTTGGTATATAGGGACTGACGCATCTGCCTGGAGGGTGGGTTCCTTCCAGTGGTAGCTTGGGCTAAGAGTGAATGGACAATGGGTAGCAAACGTCAACCTTGAAGCAACTACCCTCTTAGAGAAGGTACCTATAAGGCATCCAAGTCCTCAACCCCACTTCAAAGAGTCATATTTATCATTACCTCTACAACTCTATCCAAGACACCAAAGCCGGCAGCTACTACCCTCTTTTGTCTTGACTTACCAAGGAAGGCAGTATCCAAGCAAAATGGCTTATCACCAGTCAATTGATGAGCCGAGCGCTTCCAGCGGCTCGAGCACCCAGATCGGCTTATGACTGAAGTTTCCCAGCATCAACCCCAACGCCATGGCCGACGGCTGCAACGTGGCAGATGCCAACGACCTGGCATACCAATTCGAAGGCAGCATGAGACTCAGACCGTCCGAAGAAGAGTCCCTCAATATCGCACAGTACGATCTTCGCGCCAAACTTGGCAACAACGGCGTGAACGCCGTCCCTCCTCCTGGCTATCGTTTCTGGCAGTTCAAGACCGCGCATGGCTTCAAGAAGATGCGGCCGCGGGACGGCATACGCTACATCGATCCCGCCAGCGTAGACCACGTCTTCGCAGGCGGCCAGCGCACCAGTCACCTCGTCGACGCCTTCAAGCTGAGCGCCGTCGTCGACAACGAAAAGTACAGCTTCGCCTACATCGACAAGAAGACGGCAGAGATCATCACCGAGATGACCAAGCACGTCTCGAAGTTCGACCCGAAGCGTCCGGTGGGCTGGATCCGGTACGCCATCGACAAGGTGCCCGTCCTGCGCCGTCCGGGCGTCAACCCCTTCGTCACGCTCGAGCTCACGGTCCGGCTGGTCCGGGGCCGCCAGAACGGGCTCCGCGAGCCGCTGCCCGGCGGCCAGGGACCCTGTCAGACGGCGTTGGCCGTCGATGCGTTCCTTGCTGACATGGCGCGGCCGCGCGGCCTCTTCCAGACGGTCTTTCCCGACTATGGCGGTCTGCTTCATGGATTGGATGCTGAGGAGAATGTGCTTGGAAGCGTGGGGGCGGATGGAAAGGTTGTCACGTTGGATGAAGGCCCTGCGGCTGTTGATTACATCTGGACGTCGAATGACGAGGGAGAGGGCAAGGCGAAGGGCGCCGGACGTGGAGGGGGCGACGAGGACTATGACGAGGGCATGGAGGATGACTTGGACGCGTTTGACGACCAGATAGAGGACGAGAACGACGCATAAAACGTCCACAGCGGTTGGTAAAGAACGGAGCCGATATCAGAGAAGCGGTGTCGTACTCTACATAACCTACTCGAATGACTACAGATACTGCTGACGGCACCTGTATGTTCCCACATCCACGATTTCTCTCATCACCTTCTCTTACGGCTGGAATCCTTCTTTACAAACGGTTTCCAGTTGCCAAACCATGGGAAATCCGACATGGCCTTCTTCGCCGTGGTCGAGCTGATAAGCAGCACGACGAACAGCGTCAATCCAGCGCTCGGCGCAGCAATGACCGCCCACATCCGCAATGTGTGCCCCAGCTCAGACACCTTGGATTGCATCGACAGAAGCGCGGCTATGAAGCTCAACGGCAGGAACAGCGTCGCCAGCCACGTGAGTCGGTGTAGATTGCGGTTGTCGGCCATGCTGCGGCGCGAGTCGTCAACGATGGACGTTTGCACCGCCAGCTGGGTCAGACGCTCGAGACGCTTCTGGAACTCCTCCATGGCGCCAAGGACAAGGGCAAAGTCGCGCTTGTACGGTTGCAAGACAACATCGGTGACGAGGTCGTGGACGCGGCCGTCATTGTTAGTCTGGTGGGCGAGCCAGGCGCGCGTATCAAAGTCACCGCCACGCATGGTTTCGATGTGCGAGGAGCTGTGAAAGACGTGGAGAAGCATGTCCGAGAGCATTTCGCGGAAGACAGGGATGAAGCGGCGCCATGCGTGGAGCTTGCGCATGCGGCCGTCTATGTCGTCGGGGTTTTTGACAAAGTGCTGGGGGTAGGCAAGTTCCCAATCAATGATATTCAGGCGGGCTTTGACATAATCAATGATCAGAAGCCACTCTGACGCAAGCAGATGGAGGAGGGCAGCCACTGGGATGTGAATGTGTGACGGGCATTCTTCTGATGGCAGCTGAGGAAAACAATCTGGCTTCTGGGCCCAGTAAACAAAGTCGTCAAAAAACGACGTCTGCTTGGGGCCCTCCGGCAAGGGATCACTCCGCAGGGGATAAGGAGGCTTCTCCCAATTCTTGTATCCTTTCCACAGCGGCAATCCGTTCTGTATGGTCGGATCAAGGAGAAGAATAGCTTTTTGGAAAAGGTTAGTGTGATAAGTGTTGCAGGTCTCGATGTGCACATACCAGTCTCGGGCTCTCCGGAAGATACTCTCTTTTTGGTCCACAATGATGCCTTGGATCTCATAAAAGACGTGAGCGCGTCTGGATCATCCCACTTACACCCGCGGTTCTCGTCGTCATCTGCTCGACGCTCAACGTTAAACTTCATCTCCTCCCCACGAGCATCTATGCTGTAAGTCGTATGTTTCTGGAAGTACCGTGCGCGAGGAAACCTTATCTGTAACCAGCGCCGCTGTTCGAGGTCAACCTCAAGGTTTGTGGCATCTCTCCAGGGATCGCGCGGATTATTCCAGGCATAGGCGTACAGATGCTCGCGGAAAAAGTCAGGTTCCACACCAAACTTGTAACCAAGTGCTTCAATGACGGTTCGCGAGAGGTCCTCTACGACGAAAAGACGGAGCGTAAGATTCTGGTCAGGCTTCAAGCCAGCCAAGCCGGTTTTGAGGCTTTCCCGGGTCTTATACCGTGTGCACTGGGGCGGCTTTTGGTCCCTATAGTATTCGAGCAAACATACGTTGGTGCGCATTGTTCGTCCCGCTCTCGAACGGGCGTCGTCTTCGGCGGGGTTCTCCTGCCACCGTGCTGTGACTGTGCCAATGTTCATAAAATCGGCCAGCAAACGTAAATGTGGCCACTGGTGGTCGGCACTGGAGATATCCCTCACATGAGTGTGATAGGGATCCCTGGATGCTATTAGTGCGAGTCCAATCACGTAGCCAAAGCGCAGAGCCTTTGCAAGACGCAGCAGTGATTTTGTGACGTACGGGTTCGGCTCCAAATTCATCCACTTCTCCCGCCATTCACTTTGGCCGCCATAGACGTCCCCATAGGGATATGGATTCACGCCCTCTTTCTTGATGAAATGATATACATCCCGCATGACGGTTCCTTGTCGTGTGGGGCTGCTGTCGGATGGGGAATTGGCGCGTGCCGCGGGAGTGCGAGGCATCTTGCGACAATATTGATAGGCGTTGCCGGGTTGCTCAGTGGTAGGGCTTTCTCGTGACGACGAGGGAAAGATCAGATACTGGCGCCTCGTGAAAAGGAGGGCAGGGCTATGGACTCTCTTATTCCGTTCCGAAGACGAGCGAGCAACGTGGCGGCGGCTCTTCAATCATGTCTGCAGCACCTACCTCGTGCCAAGTCCGTGGCCAGGCAAGTTGGTGGGGGTTGCACAGCGTATTTGGCTGTTCAGCTCATGCTGGACGGGCGGGGGCTGACAGGTCGATTACAGCATGCCACTTGCCAGCCTTGTCGGGGACCCTGGTGTCAGCATCCAACTTGGGAGCCGTCATGGCGGCAGAGCTTTGGTCGAGATACAGAAGTATTGTCAATGTATTGCCGGTGTCAGATCGACTGATCGACTGGGCAAAGTGGATGTCGAGGCTGTGGAAGGCATGCGCCACTCTTCTTTTGATGTCTGGCAAGAAAGCTTAAAGAGCACTGCCGCAGTCTCGGGGCCGTCGCCTGCCTAGCCGCCTGCCTAGCCGCCTGCCTGTTTGCGATGCGAACTGGGCGTTGATCGGACGATGGGTACAACGGCGTCTCGGGAAGACCCGCACCCGCAAGAGGGTGATGGGCCATCGGCGATGGTTGATGGGCGATGGTCGACAGAAGCTTGGGTGCTATTCCCGACAGACATGGTTCCGATGGAAATGGCCAGGCCACTGATGACTAAGCCAGACACGTTGTTGACCAAATAAAGAAAATGAGGGGACAACCAACCCGAGGAGACTGAGCCTGGAATGCAGTGCAGACTCAGGGCCCCGAAGCCACGTCCTCCCAGCGACGGTTTGCGGGGATGGCCCGAGCCTAAGGTAACGTAGCGGCCCCTGAAGTGATCATCTGGGTCACACTCGGGAGCCTGCAAGACCTTGTCTCGGGCGAGGGAGAGATCGAGCGAGGTCCGGCGACTGTAGCCAGAATCCGAACAGAATATTTCCAGCATTCGGCTTCCCGCCGAGTCAGGATCATCTCGACAATCCATCGACCGATCGTCGTGTTGCATGGGGTTGATGCCCTCGGATCGGTCAACACCAAGGCTGTGCTTGCTTGTCGAGGCGTCGGCCACGCGACAGGACTAGCCTGGGAGGGGCCTGGGAGGGGCCTGGGACCCGAATGCGATGTCTTGAGGCTTCCTTGCCAGCTCGGTTTCCCTGAGCTGATTGCTGGTTCGAGGCTCGATTGGCGATGATTCGTGGTTCAGCGGGCAGCTCCAGAGCCCCGAAAGCGAGACCGAGCATTGGGGGATCCTTGAGGCCACTTTACCTAATCAAACTCGGGGCGCTGTATGGGGTCGCTTGTGAGCCTGACCAGTCGCCGTCACTTGCGAGGGACCCACCTCGCACAACTCCTGTGCGCCGGAACATGTGAGAGGGTCACTTCCGAGAGATCTTGCATAAACCTTGTACTACCTAGATATAGGTTAATGGCCATCCGACTTTCTCGTTGTCCATGTTGAAAATTATGGTAGCGATGAACTATCTGCTTCCTTTCTCTTTCCCTGGTCCTTTTTATTGGGTTTGTTAGAGGGCGAAGAGAGAAAAAAAACACCCATACAACCTACAATAACCTCGAAGCTTAGTGCCATAGCTCCTCCAGCCATGGCCGACGAACGACCAGCAACAAACTCGACAGATGTCGACCTGGAAAAGGGTCATAGCAGGCCGAGCTCTTCTCAGGAGCTCAAGCCAAAGACAGAGCCCGAGTCTGATTCCCTCCATACGAATGAGAAGACCCTCAACAACGAACCAGAACAGGAGCCTGAACACAACACCGCGTCTCAACCAGTCGATGACCCCAATCTTGTCGACTGGGACGGCCCTGATGACCCTGAGAACCCCATGAACTGGCCCGACAGGCAAAAGTGGCTCAACATTGGTCTCATCTCTCTGTTGACTTTTGTGACGTGAGTTTCCTCCCCCCCTGCTTAGCTTCGATCCAATGTCTCTGGCTAACACGCTTCTCCTATCCAGACCACTGGTAAGGCAGGACCAAAATAACCATACTGCAGTGGCTCCTACTGACACGCGATTTCACTCAAAATAGGGTTCTTCCATGTTCGCACCTGGTATCCCTGCCATCATGGTGCAGTTTGGAGAAACGTCATCCATCACCGCCACCTTTGTCGTCTCTGTCTATATTCTCGGATTCGCCTTCGGGCCCCTCATCGTCGCGCCCGTCAGCGAGATGTGGGGTCGTCGACCCCTTTACATCTGGGGCAACATCTTTTTTGTCCTCTTCTCAGTCGGCACCGCCCTGTCCCAGAACATGGACATGATGATGGCCTTCCGTTTTCTCATGGGCGTCGCCGGCTCCGTGCCGATCACTATAGGCAGTGGCAGCATCGCCGATATCATGCCCGTCGAGATGCGCGGCCGCGCCATGTCCGCCTGGGCCCTCGGCCCCCTACTGGGTCCCTGCATCGGGCCCGTCGCCGGTGGCTATCTCATCAGGGAGACGAGCTGGCGCTGGGTCTACTGGCTCGTCTGCATTGTCGTATGTGCATTCCGGCTGCTGATTGTCAAGTTGGAAAAATCGCTGACAGAAGTACACAGGGCGGCATCTGCATCCCGCCGTCGTTCCTCTACATGAAGGAGACGTACGCCCCCATCCTCATCGAGCGCAAGGTCCTGAAGCTGCGCAAGGAGACAGGCAACAACAACCTGCACAGCAAGCTCGACTCGGGCCAGAGCGTCGCCGACAAGTTCAAGATCGCCATCGTCCGCCCCGTCAAGCTCCTCTTCCTCGTGCCCATTGTCACGAGCATGGCCCTCTACGTCGCAATCGTCTACGGCATCCTCTACCTTCTCATCACGACCTTCTCCTTTGTCTACCGCGACCAGTACGGCTTCGACGAGGGCACCGTCGGCCTGACCTTCCTGCCCGCCGGCATCGGCATGATGATCGGCGTCGTCGTCTTCGGCGCCCTCTCCGACATGCTCGTCAAGCGCCGCATGGCCGCCGGCGGCGACCTCGTGCCCGAGATCCGCCTGACCCCCGCCGTCGCCCTACCCTGCGCCACCGTCCTGCCCGTCGGCCTCTTCATCTACGGCTGGACGACCGAGAAGCAGGTCCACTTCATCGTCCCCATGCTCGGCGTCGTCATCTTCAGCGCCGGCCTCATGGGCGTCATGGTACGTTGCCCGTCTCTGCCCGTGCCCCGTGCCCGCTGCCTCCTGTTCGTCAGTATGCATGCCCACTAACGCGACGCGCAGATGTGCATCCAGAACTACCTCCTCGACACCTTCCCCCGCTACGCCGCCTCCGTCACCGCCGCCCTCGCCGTCCTGCGCTCCCTCGCCGGCGCCCTGCTGCCCCTCGCCGGCCTCGAGATGTACAACGCCCTCGGCCTCGGCTGGGGCAACAGCCTCCTCGGCTTCCTCTCCGCCGCCATGATCCCGCTGCCGCTCCTCTTCTACCTCTACGGCGCCAGGCTGCGCGCCAAGTCGAACCCCCAGCTGTGATGGGTTTGAATGGGTTCTGTGTTGTTGTCTTTTGCTGCATGTGCATTGAAGCCCGATTTTCGTTTCCGGCCGGCGTTGGGGGGATACAGGTATGAAGCATAGTATAGACGGTTGTTTTCGGTAATTTGTACATACTGAGTGGGCCATGGGTCGCCTTCGGAATTGAAGGGGAGATTCGAGACAGTTGAGTGGATGCCGATTTCCTGATACCCGCCAGCAGCTCAAAACTTCGGGGCGAAGTGGCGTCTGGGAAAGTGATCTATTGTGAGCGTGGCTGCTGCTTCAAACTGCGTCTTCTTCGAGTTTGATGAACATGTACAACATGAACGTTTTATTGTGAAGAGGAATGAAGTTCAAGTAAAAGATTCAGAGTCTTACATACACGTAGCCTTGACAAAAACAGAAGGACATAAAGTATCCTTGCTGTACCAGACCGGTGAAACTGTAAAGGAAGGGGAACTGTACCTCTGGGCGTGCGCATCCTGCTTCTTGGTCGATGTGTTTGGCGAGGCGGAGAACGTGCTTCCCACCCGCGCGCTGGTCTTCCAGGACCAGACTCTGCCAGAAGCGCAGGCGGATGCTACGCTCGTAGCCTCCGGTCTTTGTCCAGAAGACATCGTATTCTTCTCCGGGAACGAGATGAATGAGGGCGCCTGCGGCCATGTATACATTGACATGACTCCCTGCTCCTTGTCGCAGATCTGTGAGAAGACAGAGTCGTCGCTGATGTACCTCTTTCTCGGCGTAGCGCGGATACGCTCGACCGCCCTGTCGATTCTGTTGCCAGCGTTGCACTCGTGTCTTTGTACCTCGGGACGGACCCAGGGTTTTCTCTCATCACCCGGGAATAGTGTGTCTGGGTCTTGCGGCTCCAGGGGATTGGGCTCCTCCATATCCGAGTCGGGTGCGTTGAACACCCACGGCAGCGTGGTACCCCGATCAAATATAACAAGTCAAATCATGAAATAACTAAATAGATAGACCGATTTCCTATAATTAAATAACTAAATCTATAGTATTTCGATATTTCGATATTTAGTAAACGTTTAAATACGCATTCAGGCCCGGAATATAGCTATTCCGAGCCCTAGGTAGGCTAATGACTATCGTGATAGCTTCATTACTAACTAAGTAAGTTAAATATTTATAAATAGGACTAAACAACCAAATCCGTCGATTTCGGCGGACCAAACAACTAAATCCGACACCTATATTTAACTTGTTTGGTCGGAGTGCAGCGCTGACCCACGGGTTTCGTGGCACCTGAATCGTTCACCCACCCGGGCATTCCATACTAGCAGTGGAAATGGAATATGCCCCTGACATTGTCAAACACTTGGACAATCGGATAACACGGGTCTGTCACTGCCATCGTTTACCTCTGGGTATTTCTAGGCAACACTGGAGGTGACTTGAATAAGCACTCAGTCCTGTGTAGGACGATTCGAGATTTATTGTGATCATGCATGGAGCTGCTTTACTTTCCACAGAAATCCACTAAGAACCACGGAGCGACTCCAAAGCCCTCTGGACCAAACCCTCCATCTCTCGAACAGCGCCCTCTTGCGTCGTCTGGCCCGTCATGATATACAGGACATTCCCCAAAACACGGGTGTGAACATCCCACGCCCCCTTGCCGTCGCGAAGGCCGGCCTGAAGCCTAGCAGCAGCCTTGCTCGTGTATCCGACCCCATCATCACTCCGCATGCTGATCGTGAGAACACTACCCAGGGCCCAAGCGCCCGCAACCTTGTCGGACTGCCTCGAGAGGCTGTCGATGAACTCGTTCGACCACATGGACCAGGTATTGCCCGAGGCGCCCGGACTAGGCGCGGCACCTAGCGCCTTTCCACTCGAGTTCTTCTTGGCCCAGTCCCACGCGCCGTTCTCGTCCATGCGCTGCAACTGGTCTAAAGACTCCACGGCTACCTGGCAGCCAACCGCGTGGGCCGTGTAGCTATGTCCATGAAGCAGCGCGTCGCTCTTATCGTCGCTCGCAAAGGCGTCGAAGATGGACTCCGAGGCCAGCGTCGTGGAGAGGGGCAAAAGCCCACCAGTGAGGAGCTTGGCGTGAACAGAAATGTCGGCGAGGGTGGCTAGCAGAGATGATGAGCTGAAACGGCCGAGGCGGTAGAGGCCGGTAAAGACCTCGTCAAAGATGACGGGGAGGCCCTGCCAGTCATGCTCGGTGGTGCTGGATGCGGTGGCGTTGCCGAACAGTTCAGGCGAAGAACGCACGACGTCGACGAGCGCTTTTTGATAGAGAGGGTCTCTGCACAGCTGGTCAGCAAATCAAGGTTGGTATGAGTGTGAGATGGAAACTTACACCAGGATCATGCCGCCAGCGCCAAGAACGACGGGCTCCAGCATCAAGGCGCCGAACTTGCGTCCGTCCTGTTTCTGGAGACGTTCTAACACGGACCGGAAGTAATTCTTGTACGACTCGTATGCCTTTGTCTGAGTTCTGTTGCTGAGATCAAACACATCGCTGAGAGATCCAAACTTCGCTCCATCGCCGAGGTTATTCTGTAGCGCCTCCGGCGTGTCGACGACCCACTTGCCATCGCGGCACCAGACACTGGGATAGTCAAACCAGAAGCCTTTACCCTGGTACCATTCTACCTTTTCGTTGAAGACGCTCGGCTCCGAGCAGTCCATGGTGCCGATGGTATCGCCGTGATAGCTCCCTTTGAGGCCGAGAATTTCCATCTTCTCGGAGGCGGCCCAGCCATAGCGCAGCCTGGCAGCGCGAAGAGCCATCTTGACGGCGACCTCGCAGCCGGTGCTCCCGTTGTCAGTGTAGAAGACTCGCGTCAGCCGTGGGTTTCCCATGCCATGGAGCAGCTTCTCAGCGAGAGCAAGGGCAGGCTCATGGATCGCCTCGGCGAACATGACGTGGCCGTAGCGACCGGCAGCATAGGCGGCGGCCAGCGTGAGGCGCGGATTTCCGTGACCGAGACCTTGGGTCCACCAGGAGGCAGAGCCATCGAAAGCCGGTTGTAGCAGTCCACTCTCGTTTGCGGGGGAGGGAGCAGCGGCGGGGGTCAAGACCTGGAAAAAGTCGCCATTGGCCGAATCGATGACGGAGATGCGGTCAGGCGTTAGTAGCTTTTGCTGAGTGAAGGGGTACCAAATGTTCTTGCTCGCACTCTGAGGCATGTTCTCGAGGCGCGCAATACGGCTCTTGCCCCGGTGATCCAGGTCCTTGAGGACGCCGTGGGCAGTTTCGCTAGAACTCTCGCGCTCGTAGTATGCTAACAGAGCGCCATGATCGTACCGAGGATCCTCGTGCCGCTCCGGCGGGGCGGTGACCGTCTCGACAGGAATGCCTGCATGCTCTTGGAAGTAGTCCTTGAGGTACAGATGGTTCTCGTATGTCGCATTTTGGAAGAGCAACACTGCCTCAACGTCCAGACCACGTAGTTTCAGGGACTCGTACGCGGCAATGGTCTGTGAGATGCCTCCAAGCTTGGAGTCGCCGACGAGGACAGTAGGTAGTCGAAGAGGCGCATAGAGATCGGCTTGCGGAGTTCCTGTCGGACCGGGTGAATGCACACCCCCGGCAGTCTCAAGAAAGAGCCACCCAGGACCCAAGGCGGCGGTTTTGAGTGCGTGATCATGGATGGACCGCCGGAGAGCGTCATCTGAGGGAATGTCCTGCCAACCAGTCAGACCAAGTTTGGATGAGGCCGCAACAAAAGTGGTACCCTGCCGGACAGTCTCGCTGCAGTATGCGGACTGCATGGTACATTGTACTGCACGAGCGTCTCTGCAGCGACAGAGGGAGCGAAACGCTCGATATGTCTGCGAGCGTGGTCAGGCTGAGGTGACCCGGCTCGCCGGACCTGGCTGATGCTGGGTACTTCTGTAGACCAGTTAGATCAGATCAAAATGACGGATCGACAGATAAGACATACACGAACTGTCTGCCTCACTGGCCGGACCCGTAGACACCGGCTTCAGGTAGGAGGTGCGCTCATGGTTGTAGAACTTGGTCGCGGCATTGCAGAGGATCGTTGTGAAGATGGTCTTGCCCACGTCCGTGTTGGCGCCGTACACCTGGTGCAGGCGAAGGTGCCGCCACAGCAGACCAGATAAGGGTGCCATCTCCAGACCTGGAGGCCAAAGGAAGAGGCGTCAATGGGGGAGCGGGAACGTGTCAAGATGTTGCTTAGCTCCATGATGTGTTGAGGGGCATCGAGGCCCTGAGAAATGTGCCTGATGGGCGAGGCTGTGCGAACGGCTTAGGGAAGGTGATGCCCTTGTACAGGGGGGTCAAACCTTCTGTAGCCGCTAGACCGACCGACGGCAAGCCACTTTGCCTTACCTCAGCAATTCCCTCAACATGTGCGACGCCCACCATGCGAATATATGGGCGCGACGCAAAACAGAAAACCTCCCGTGTTCAGCTTGTTTTTCCCGTTGAGTCACATCTTCTGCCGTGGGGTGCATCGTCAACATGTCCTCGTCCTCGAGCTTGGAAAGAGCTCTGAGGCAGCGGCTAGAAGAAAGGAAGTCCAAGTCACAACTACGCCGGCTGACCTCCTTCCCCTCGACGAGCGTCGACTTGTCCTCCAACTCCTATCTCTCGCTCTCTGTCGTGCCAGAGGTTCAAAAAGCCTACATAGCACACCTCGAACAGCTGACCGCGTCGAATCCTCAAACGTCCATCCTGGGATCCAGCGGCTCCAGGCTCCTCGACGGCAATTCGAACTATGCCGAAGCGCTGGAACGCGACGTTGCCGCATTCCACCATGCTCCCGCTGGTCTGCTTTTCAACTCGGGCTTCGACGCCAACGTGGGCCTGTTCAGTTGCGTTCCCCAGCCGGGAGATGTCGTCGTCTACGATGAGCTCGTGCACGCCAGCGCCCACGACGGCATGAGGATGAGCCGCGCCGCCCAACGACTGCCGTTCAAGCACAACACCGTCTCCCCAGCAAGAAGGCCCCACCCTCTGGGCGATACCCCGCCAGCGCGACAAAGCCTGGGCGAGATCCTCGCAGCATTGACCCAGGGCGCGAGCGGCCAAGAGGTCAGGGCCGGGACCCGCAACGTCTTCGTCGCCGTCGAGGCCGTCTACAGCATGGACGGCGACGTTGCGCCGCTGCGGGAAATCGTCGCCTGCATCAAGCAGCACCTGCCCCGCGGCAACGGTCGGCTCATCGTCGACGAGGCGCATTCGACAGGTCTCTTCGGCCTGCAGGGCCGCGGCCTCGTGTGCGAGCTCGGGCTCGAGCGCGACGTCTTCGCGCGCCTCCACACCTTTGGCAAGGCCATGGGGGCTTCGGGGGGTAAGTGCTCTCTCTCTCTCTCTTCTTAGTTCTGACCCAGAAAGCCGAGTGCCGAGCCTCTGGGGAGGGGGGTGGGACCCCTGACGCTAACGAATGCACGCGCTTGCAGCCATGATCCTCTGCGCGCCGGTTGTTAAGGAGTACCTGATCAATTACGCGCGTACCCTGATCTACACGACGGCCATGTCGCCGGCGAGCCTGGCGGGCATCAGGGTCACGTACGACTTTGTAGCCACAGAGATGGCCGACGAGTTGAGGCGGCGGTTGAGAGAATTGATCGGGTACACGCACGGCCTCTTTGTGTCCATTTGCGCACGCTACGGCGCGGCCCCGCGACCGCTGGTGCGCGTTGATGCGGGGTTGCCCTCGTCGCCCATTATCCCGTTGTTGACCTCGCATCCGCGCAGCCTGGCCTTGTACTGCCAGGAGCGAGGCTACATCATCCGTCCTATTGTCGCGCCTACAGTGCCGAAAGGCAGCGAGAGGGTGCGGGTCTGTCTACATGCTGCCAACACGAAAGAAGAGGTCGAAGGTCTGGCCCGCGTGGTCGAGGAATGGGTGCTCAAGACGCAGAAGGAGGGCCTTCAGGAGACCCAACCACAAGTGCAAAAGGCTCATCTTTAGGTGGCAAGTGATCGCATCACGGCTCGAGATTCGGCTTTGCAAGCCGAAACCAAAAATTACTGTTGGAAGCATCAGCTTGGTGCACTCTTTTCAACAATAAAGAGAAGCATGGTAGATGGGAGACATATTGGGCCAGTACTGCGCTCTTGATGCGATGTGCTGGGGGGGTTGAGGGGGTGAGGGGTTGATAATAAAAAAAAGACCGCTAGCAACGAGAATTCAATTGAACAGGGAATGCGTTCACCCCGATGAGACGAGAATGACGAGATGCTCTGAGGCCCCCTTTCTTAGGCACGAGATTGATGCGGCAAGGTGAGTCACCCGGCACCGCATGCTGAAAGGGGCGTCACTATAAGGCTGATGGAAGTCCGCCCGTATCTTAAAAAGGGGCTGAAAACAACACGAGGCAGCTGGCGAGGCTTCCTCGACCCTCTAAAGGCTTGGGAGACATGTCGCATATTTAAAGATGTCAAGGGTTGGCACTCAAAGTTCCTCGGTAACCCTCCAGGCACCAACTCGATTAGTACAACCAACATCATCGAAGGTCAACACCACAATGCGGCGCCCCCAGCTCCTCACGCCGACTGAATTAAGCAGGCTGCGAGATCGCTCCGACGAGAATGACAAGCTAGCCACGTGCTGGGACCGCGAACACGTCGGCATTCTTCTCTTCGACTACTCGGCCCCGCCCATGAGCTACTCTGGCTATCCGATGCTCAGAGTCTCACTTTTGAAAAGAGGCGTTTCGAAAACGCGCCACGCCTCAGGGTGGTGCGAGTCGGAAAGCGATTTCACCTTCATCGGCAACGTGACGAATGCTCCGCCGCGAGACTACCACTACGGCAAGAGCTCCACGTACGAGCAGCCAGCGGCCCTGATGAGGAACAAGATTGAAGAGATCCTCGCCGAGCTGGGCGACAGATACGCCACGCTCTGTCTATGTACCGCGCGGCCGAAGCAGTTGGCCCTGGGGCTGCAGAAAATCGGCCTCACAATCCCGAAGCAGTTCGTGGTTGTCCATCTGGTCAAGGTGCTCGAGTTCCAGGCCGTACCAGATGTCATCAACAGCGTGCTGGCCGGGCAAGAGGGATTCGCGGCGCGGGCCAACGACGGGGAAATCTGGACTGGACCGGGGCATGGCGCGGACTGCTCGCTAGCCTCGGTGTTGCTGGCGCTCGTCGGGCCGTTAGCGAAGAATTACACCGGCGACTGGAAGAGGATTGAGCGGGAGGCGGTGGCGGCCAGTCGGCTATTGGGTGGAACGGGACTCAAGATCGTTGGCGAGATGAACAAGATGAAGAGCAGATCGTCGAAGCGAGGCAAAAGAGACCCAGACGCCTGAGTTGCCATGCGATAGACCTCAAGCGCCTCTAGGCATCTGCCAGCATCGGCTCGATAGATAACCACGAGGCATGCGCCGGGTTCGTCTCGAATGCGACGTCCGTTGTCGATCTGTGATTGCTAGTTGGCCTAGTAAACTGGTTGATTGGGTCTAGATCCTCAAATCAGCCAAGGGAAACTACTCGGCCTTTCGCTCCGAATGCCGACATAGGGCAAGGCACGAGCGCCATTGGTGTCTGGTGGTTGATGTGTTGGAGGGGGGCCGGCTGCCCAGCCCTGACAGGTCCAACTATGCCTGGCGATGTTGTTGCTGGGAATGTTGTGATGGGTCGGCACGGCTGGCACGTGGGATGGTGACTCGAGATCTGTCGAGGGGGCAAGAGGTGAACCAAGCTTCCTGTGCTGTACAGGTATAGCCATGGTAAGGTAGGCACAGCACCTTTCTGACCACTGTAACCCCCCACCCCGGTCGAGGCAGCGCCCGCCATGTGGAGATAAGGGAAACGGCCCGGACAGGGGGAGCTGGCTGGTCCCGCTTGCATTTAGCAGGGCCAATGGAGTGAGCTTCTGTAAGGCGTTGTGGGCGTGGGGTCAGCGGAATAATCGGGGGGTGGATTGGGGGACATTTTGGGGGAGGAAGGACTGACGGGGGAACTGACTAATTACCATGTACTACTGGGCCTGGTAGCACTTGCCCAGGGCGCTTTGACCTGAGAGGCCCCTTCCCCCCCCCAACCTGCCTGCCTCCCTCTGCGGGACCCCGCGTTCCCACCCGTGCTTGCCCTGACCTGTCGGTCGCTCTCGCCTGTGACAGGACCGACGGCGCGAGCTGTGCTCGCCATTCTTTCCTCATCTTTCCCTCCACTGCCGCAACTTTACCTCGCCTATTTTCCCGCCTATTGCCTGACCCCCAACCTCGATCTCGACCTCGCCTTGGATCGCCTCTCCCCCTTCGGCTCCCCGCAGCAGCCCTATCGCTTCGAGATTTGCGGCAACTTTCATATCCATCATCGCAACGACATTCGAAATGCGCGACTAGGGCGCTGGTCATGGCGACCCACCAACCCCATGCGGGCGGCGCGCCCTCTGCTCACGGCCATCCGGGACCCTCACCAACAGACGAGGGATCACCAAATCCTCCCGAGTCGTCCAAAGAGTCTACCACCTCCGCCTACCGACGCGCCAGTCGCAAAGGCGCCGTGAAGAAATTTAGCTGCAGCTTTCCCGGTTGCGACAAATTATACTCTCGAGCTGAGCATCTCCACCGGCATCAGTTGAATCGTGAGACGTCCCCCACCCGGCTTGGAAACGACTGTTACCTTCTCGCCTCTTGTTGTGCCGCCGCCTCGATTAGCCGAGCCCGCTTGACTGACATTGACTTGCAGATGCACCCAAGGAAATCTTCCGTTGCGAAGAACCTGGCTGCGACCAAAAGTTTGTCCGCGCCGATCTCCTCGCTCGACATAAGAAGCGTCACTTCACATCCTCCTATATACCCCGGAACAGAACCTTCAGCTTCAAGTCGTCACATCCTGAACTTGCGGCCACTTCGAGCGCACCAGCACCAAACACAACATCCACTGCCGGGGCTGCCCCGCGAACGCAGTTCCCGTCACATCCCTCGAGTGGACCTCACGATGCCGCCATCTTACTGACGCCCGACTCGGAGCCGGCCCCACGGCTGGTTCAGCCTTCGAGCTGGCCTCCGCCGCAACCAACCATGCACGGCTTGGACATGAACATGGGGTCGAAGACGGCGTATTATGGGAGGGAGGCGGTGACCATGGCCGCCGAATCGTCAACCATGTTGCCCTTCGACAACGGCTTTCAAGCGGATGGACATCTATCCGAGAACTTCGCCATGTGGCTTTTTGACGCTCAGGCTGGCTGGAACGAGCTGAACGCTGTTGCAAACATGCCGTTTCTCGAAGGCGGTTTGGAGTCGACGTTCAACAACAACATCAATTACGACTACGAGTCGCTTACAAGCCGCTCACAGCCAGATCCCACGCCGCCGCGCCAAGAAAATGACGACCTTCTCACGGAACACCGTCGAGAAGAGATCTTGTCCTGGTTCCGGCTTTTCCGCAGTAAACAGCCCAAGTACGAGGCCTCAATCACCCGGATCGTACAAGAGAGCGGCGGTGACGTCCCCGGCCTCAGTCTCGACATGATGCGACATTGTCTGCACACGTACTGGGTCGATGTGTCCCCGCGGCTGCCTATTGTACATCAGCCGACTTTCTCATGCAACCGATGCCCCATTTTCCTCGTCATGGTCATGCTTGCACTCGGCGCTGCATCTCTGAGGGCCCGTGACACGACGAGCACCTACGTCGAGTACGGGGGTTTCGCGGACGTTATCATATCGAGCGTTCGCTGGGAAATCGTGACGGCCGAAGACGCCAACCCGCCAGTGGCTCTGTGGGTGGCGCAGGCACTTCTGCTGCTCGAGTACTATGAGACCCTGTTCTCTTTCCGCAAGTTCCATGAGCGGGCGCACATCTACCACTCCGCGACCCTGACTCTCTTGCGCCGGGGTAGTCCCCTTATCGGCAAAGCGGGCAGTGAGTCACCGCCCGAGGAAGCGCCGCCGTCGGGTGAAAATGACGGCTCGTCAGACTCGCGAACATGGTGGGTGCGCTGGGCTGAGACGCAGTCCATGCATCGTGTTGTTTTTGGGGCCTTCATGATGGATATCATCCATGCCACCATGTTTGGCCATCTCGCCGACATGGCGCCCGATGAGATCCGCCTCCCTCTACCGTGCGATGACAGCCTTTGGGCGGCGCCCAACCCCGACAGCTTCCGGAGCGTTGACAGCACGTGGCGCATGTATGGCATCAAACAGATTTCTTTCCTCGAGGGGCTCAAGTCTGCGCTTCACTGCAACCCAGTGAAGACACATTCGTTTGGTCGCATGATCATCATGTGCGGTCTTCTCAGCGTTGGCTGGCATCTCTCCCATCGCGACAGCCAGATCAAGTGGCTCGATCGCCCCACACGCACATCTGAGCACGACACATGGCGAAGGACGATCCTGAAAGCTTTTGATATTTGGAAAGAGAGCTACGATGCCGATATTGGCCTATCCGAAACCAATCTTGGGGAGAGCCATGGTAGCGCGAATGGGCCAGTTCAGTCGCCATCTGTACTCTACCATTTCGCCCACATTGCTCTTCAAGTCGACATCGTGACCTGTCAGGTCTTTGCGGGCGCGAAACGCCTGGTCAACCGCAAAATTTCGACGCGCGATTACAGCAACGCTGTTGCACGTATGAGAATCTGGTCGAGCAAGGCGAGCACGAGACATGCCGTGCTGCACGCGTTCAAGCTGCTTCACCGTGTTCTGGTGGGAGGTACCCGTAGGGGGTCGGGGTACCCTCCACTCCAAGACGCGTGGTACTCGTGCCGCAACGAGGCAGACCCCCACCGCCCGTGGTCACTTTACTACGCGGCTTTGGGTATATGGTCGCTCGTGCGGGCGTTGAACGGTGGGCAGGCACTGCCGCCATATTTAGGACCGTACTTGAGCACCGCTACGTATCTGACACGCATCGCGAACCTCTCTGAGCTCACAGAGGAGACAGCAAGGGGGCTGGGTGATGGGTTGCCTGATCTGCTACGATTGTTGCAGGCGAGCTTTGAGGATGCGCATGCTGAGCTGCTCCATGAGGCGGCTGAGCGACTGAAGACTTGTAGAGAACTGATGGCTGGGGCGGGGACATGACGGGTAGATATACGAGATTCCTCTTACGACTCACTATACACCTAGAGCGGGTTACATGTTCGATTTCGAACTTTTGGGAGGCCGGGTTTCTTTTCCAGGCTCGTTTGAAAGGGTCGCGGAGGCTTTTTGTGACGGGAGACGACTGTGGTGTTTTGACATTTTTACTGTATTAGGCCGGCGGAACACTCTAGAGCAGATATATCCTTCCTTGCTGTCTAATGCGATTTTCTTCCCCTCAAGAATCACTTGATGAGCTCTTCCCTGCCTCCGGCTCCGCCTTTGTCTCTTCGACCTCGACCTCGACGCTGCCAACGCCCGAACTCAAACCCCCTTCGCCGTTGTCGCCCTCCAACGCCCTCGAGAGGCCCATGAAGTGATCCACAACATCCTGCTTCTCGGCGAACAGCGCACAGTCGAGCGGGATCTCATCCTTGTCGTTGGCCAGCGCCGGGCTGGCGCCCGCCTCGAGCAGCGCCTTGACGACGGACAGGTGCCCGCGCAGACACGCCCAGTGGAGCGCCGTGTTGGCAAACTCGTTGGCCTGGTCGAGAGCCGCCTTGCGCTCTTCGGCGGGCAGCTGTGCAAAGTGCGCCAGGATCGCCGACACGACATCTACGCTGTTGCGTCAGTATTGACTTTTCATTGCATGACATGACATCCAAGACTTTCGTTTCTCCCTTGTGCAATCGTTTCTACCATTTTCAGAATGAAGGCGCAGAGACGTGTTTCCTGAGAAAATGGGGGCGCGGGATGACTGACCTAGGTTTCCGTTGCCGGCCGCCATGTGCAGACATGTCGCCTTGCTCTCGTCGCGCGCCGCCGTGAGGATGACGCCCGGGGCGACTGATTCGCGGGCTGAGAGGGTGGCCAGGGCCTCGGCGAGGTCGGCCTGCTCGCCGGCGCGGGCGAAGTAGATGAGGTCGTCGACCTCATCTTCTGTGAGGTTGGGCGCCATCTTGAGTGCCGGGGGTGGTGGAGGTGAGGAGAGTCGTGAAGGGGCAGCAGCAGCTGATGGGCGATGAGTTTGGGGAGTGAGGCTTTGAAAATTTATGTGGTCCGTGCGGAGGGGTGAAGTGGTTTCCGGTGAGCTCGGTCAAGGCGGGGTAGTGGCGGGGTACTATTGGGTTCACCGGTCCTCTTACCGAGGCTGTCTACCATGTTTGCATTAGAAACGAAGAAAGTTTCCTTTGGACCTTCAGTCAAGTGGTGTGAATGAAGGGTTTATTCATTTCTGGTCATAATATCGCCCGTAATCTCATTTAGTCGGCACTCTATCACCACTGACACCTCAGCGCGTGCTCTCGCCAAGTGCTTCCAGCCACCACCCCTGAACCCCTGAACCCCTGGATCGCTGACTATGAGCAATTGCGTTCTCGAAAGTCCGCAGCCAAATTTTCCCTTCAAAATTATAGGCCACCGAGAGCACACAGTAGCCTACGGTCGAGCCATTTCGTCAGGTCGCCCACGTCGTCCACAGCTTGTATCTCACCCTTTACCCCGAGGACGAGCATAATCTGCAGCTCGCGTCTGTACTCCGAGTCATCAACATCTGCGCCATCTTCGTCAAAAGAAGCGAGAAGCTTCCTCGCACAGCTACGATCCCGCAATGACAATGGCATGACCGTAGCGGGGTCAGCAGGTAGCTCCCGCGGCACTCCCTCTCTGTCGCCATCGGCACCTCGTTGTCCATCAGGCATGAGATCGGCGCTTCGAATGCCGAGCCACTGCAACCGAGGCAGTACAACGTGGATTTCATGTCTGAGGCTCTGCGATCCGTGTTTGTAACATTGCATAATACGAAGACCGTCTGGATCAAAATCAACGAGGCAAACTATCGGCATGTCGGGCTTCATGGCCTGGATTGCGTGAAGGAACGATCTGGTGACGAGGTCTGGGTAGCCTTTGCCCTGTCATCCAAGTTAGCAGGAAACCTTCTCTGAAGGTCGGACTGTGCAGATTACCGTGACAATCACGCCATGACCTGCGCTTGATTTCCTCCAGTATTGCTGTACAGCCAAAGGTCGGAAAGCGGCTTCCTTTTCGATGACGAGAACCCATTTGGTCGATGCAAAGTTCATGCCGACGACGTCTCGGACCGAAGGTATGAGAATACCCTGCCAAGTTAGTACTACGATGAATCGCCTCAGAAGCGTGTGCCATACTGTTGAACCGGAGGACATGTCGACCTGGGTGCCATTCTGGAGGTGTATCGTGACGGGTCCTGACGCAAGGCCCTTGCCGGCAGCCACCTGAATCAGATGAGCGTTACGAGCAAGTGCAGAAGCACCGTGCAAGACCAACAATGTTGAGAACATCTCGTCCAAGGTTCAGAGTGAAGGCCAGGTCATCAACCAGCTGATCCACATTGGCCTGACTGCCAAAGAGCTCCACGTCTTGGTAAAAGATGTTTCTGAGATCAAGTCAACCCCGACCAAGGCTCCCGCGAGAACAAGAAGGAAAAAATCACCGTTTGGTCAGTATGGTGCCGCCAACCAACGCTCCATGCGAAAGACTCAGGATCTTCATCACCCGGGCTTGTCAACGATACATCAGTCAGTCACCTTGCAACCAGAGCGTATCGACGTTTTTTTTTTGTTCGTTTTTACCAAATTTACTGGCTTCTCGCGGCGTGCTCCCTGGGAACCGAAGCAAACCTGCGCTAGCCCGGCTGGTGCCAGGACGTCGCGCCTTGTAGGGGATGGAGAGAGCACGGCCATGGAAGAGGTCGTCTTGCACTTCGCGGAGAATGCCTTCGATTCTTGCAATAACAGATGCCGTGCTGGTGTGATACGTATTGGTACTTTGAACAAAATCGACATCTGATGGCTGGCTACCCTGCTCAGCGTGAGTAGCCAGCGATCCATCAGGTTGGCTGGGCGGCATGTGACGTGTAGCTGTTGGGCCGGTGCTCATGTCCATCGCTTGTTGGGAAAGTTGCTTCGCCAAACTTTAACAGCTGAGTCAATGTAATCGCGCAGCAAGGCAAGACATTCAAGCCTTAATGTCGGGTACGACAGGATGGGGAAGACATGCCGTCAGCATCGCGGGCAGTGAAGATGGCCTGCAGGAACACACCGTGCAAGAGATCCCCATTTCCCACACTGTACAAGGCAGCCACTGGCACCAAGAGACTAGAGATGTGGGTCTCAGGGGCACCGACAGATTGACCAATCAGTGGGACTCGCAAATTTGAGCTGGAAACGCTCCACCCAACCACCACCGGCGCCAAGGACGAAACGTCGAACGACGTGACGACTACAGTGGTCAACCAAACATGTGACACCAGCTACCACCCCGGACCCTCCCAGTACCTTACTGTACACGCACGACTCGCATCCCGCGGGACCCCTTGACGGCGTGCAGCGGGCTGGTAGAAGAGTCCGAGAGTGCCACCCTACTACATCTTGCGAGGTGCACTGCGAATTGGTAGCCCCCGCGCCCAATTCGACATCCAAAGCTCTAATACCCGCCAGTCGATGCACCATGAACGGATCTCTGAAAAACGGGTCGACGAATGGCTCCCATCGGAACGGATCGTCGAAGAACGGATCAGCCACCCACCACGAAGAGAAGCCGCTGCTTTCACGCAAGCGAGTCGCCGAAGCCATCGCCGAGCAGCCGTGGCCCAAGAAGCCGAGGATTCTCGAGAAAACCGATGTCTCGCGATGGAGGCTGAATGACGAAGATGGCCGCCATCGCTGGGTCTACGTCGAGGACAACCAGGCCCTCAAGGACTGGCCTCAGAGCTATGCCGAGAAGTACTACCTTGGGCTGCCGCTCGTACGTTGCCCCCCCTCACAAAGATTCTGATTGCGGCAGTTATTAACCAGCTACACCAGGGCCTGCCCGATCTTCCTTCCCCCGAGAGCCCCCTCGATGCTGCCACCAACGGCTTGACGTTCTTCGAAAAGCTGCAACTCGACCCCGGCGAATGGGGCTGCGAATACGGTGGTCCCATGTTCCTCTTGCCGGGCATTGTCATCACCTGGTACGTGACCAAGACGCCCATCTCGACTTTCCACGCCACAGAGATCAAGAACTACCTCTTCGCGCGGGCCGACCCGGAACTCGGCGGATGGGGACTACACACCGAGGGCGAGAGCACTGCCTTTGGCTGCACCCTGAGCTACACGGCACTCAGGCTTCTGGGCGTGGATGCCGAGGATCCCATCATGGTCAAGGCCAGGGCGCGGCTCCACCAACTCGGAGGCGCCACGAGCAGCCCGCACTGGGCCAAGTGGTGGCTCGCCGTGCTGGGCGTTGCGAGCTGGGACCTCGTCAACCCTGTGCCCCCCGAGTTGTGGTTGGTCCCGGACTGGGTGCCGATTGCTCCTTGGAGGTGGTGGATCCATATCCGTCAGGTTTACTTGCCCATGTCGTACATTTACTCGAGGCGATGGAGCTGTGAGGAGACGGACGTGACGCGGCAGCTGAAGAATGAACTGTTTGTCCAGCAGCACGCATCAATCAACTGGAAGGCCCACCGCAACGACATTGCGACGACCGACAACTATCACCCCAAAACCTGGGTTCTCAACACGGTCAACTGGCTCCTCGTCAATGTCTGGGAACCGTATCTGAAGACCAGCTCGATCAAGGAGAAGGCCGAAGCGTGGGTCAGCGAGCTGGTTGACATGGAGGATGCGAACACGGATTATGCAGGTGTGGCGCCGGTGAGCAACTCCATGAACGAGATTGTGTGCTACGTTCGCGATGGGCCCGGTTCGTACTCCGTTCGACGACACACGGAGCGTCTCCACGATGCTCTCTGGATGAACGCCGAGGGCATGCTGTGCAACGGCACCAACGGCGTGCAATCCTGGGACACGGCATTCACCATCCAGGCCATCATGGCGGCGGGGCTGGAGAAGGACGAGAGGTGGCGGCCCATGCTCAACAAGGCGCTCGGGTTCCTCGACCGGCAGCAAATCCGCGAGAACTGCAAGGACCAGGAGAAGTGCTACCGACAGCACCGCAAGGGCGGCTGGCCCTTCAGCAACCGGGACCAGGGCTACATTGTCAGCGACTGCGTCTCGGAGTGTATCAAGTCAGTCATCATGCTGCAAAAGAGCGAGGGGTACCCCCAGCTGCTTGACGATCAGCGCATCTTCGACGCCATTGACGCCATCCTGCTCTTCCAGAACGACACGGGAGGTGTGGGCACCTACGAGAACAGGCGGGGCGGCAGGTACATGGAGTACCTGAACGCGGCCGAGGTGTTTGGCAACATCATGGTCGAGTACGACTATCCCGAGTGCACGACGGCGTGCCTGACGGCTCTGTCCCTGTTCAGGGAGTACTGGCCGGATTACAGGGCCGAGGAGATCAAGGTCTTCTGCGACCGAGCCGTCAAGTGGATCACGTCGAACCAGACGGCCGAGGGCGGATGGTATGGCAGCTGGGGCATCTGCTTCACGTACGCCGCCATGTTCGCGCTCGAAAGTCTGGCGGGCGTGGGCGACGTGTACGAAACCAGCGCGCCCTCGAGGAAGGGCTGCGATTTCCTCGTGGGCAAACAGAGATTCGACGGCGGCTGGTCGGAAAGCTACAAGGCCTGCGAGACGATGACGTGGGTCGAGCACCCCAGTGGTTCTCTCGTCGTCCAGACGGCGTGGGCCGCGCTGGCCTTGATGGAGGCCAAGTACCCAGACGTCGGGCCCATCAAGAGGGCTATCCGGTTCATCATGAGTCGACAGCAGAGCAACGGCGAGTGGCTGGCCGAATCCATTGAAGGCGTCTTCAACAAGAGCTGCATGATCACGTATCCGAACTACAAGTTTATCTTCCCCATCAAGGCTCTGGGCTTGTTCGCGAAGAAGTACCCGGATGAGGTGATCAATCTGGAGGAGGAGGATTGAGACTTGAATGACTTGGTGTCATGACGGAAGAGACATAGTAGGACCTAATAGTAATTATCAGTTAATACGAAGTGTACATAGATGGCCCTTGGGAATGGCCCCTGGGGTTGGAATTGATAGTGAGCTGTCTGCTCAGCCAGAAGCAAAGGCGGTCAGCATTCATCACCCTCTGAGATGGGGGCCAAACGGCAGAATCAACGTGCCCCGCCATAGCTTCCAGAACCGTCTCCAACTCGGACCTTCCAATCCTCCAACCTGCCTACCCACCAACATTCGACAAGCTTACTTCTGCTTGTCTCCCAATACATCACTTTGCGCCAAACTGCTTTCTAATCCAACGAACTTCTTACGCGTATCCCGAAAGAACAGCTTCCACCACAATGTCGACCACCGCCGGCCAAGCAGGCGTCGCCCTCGTCGAGGCGAAAGACTACGCCGCTGCCCTCCCCAAGCTCAACACAGCCCTCGCCGGCTCGTCATCCCCAGCATGGCTCCTCGCCCGCTCCAAGTGTCACATCGCCCAGGCCTCCTACGAGCTGGCCCTCCGCGACGCCGAAGCCGCCTACCTCTCGGCCGCCTCCCGCGGGCTCCCGCCCCCTCATGATCGACGCCCAGTACCGCCGTGCCGTCGCCCTCTTCCGGCCTCGGGCCGCCTCGCCGACGCCGACGCCTGCGCCATCTTGTCGAGGAACCTCGCCGAGGGCATCTCGCTGCGCGACGCCGCGAATCTCGTCCCGAGCCCCGGCACCGCCTGGCGGCCCAGCCGCGCAGCCCACCTCGCCGAGATTAAGCACGTCACGGCGAGGACCGACAAGGCGGCCATGATGGAGAAGAAGTTCGGCGCCATCTGGAACACGGCCGCGGCGCTGCGGGCGCAGGTCCTCGCCGCGCTCGAGAGGGTGCCCGACGGCGACGACAAGGCCCGCCTCACCGTCGCGCTGGTGCCCGTCGAGCGCAAGCAGGACGAGGCCGAGGAGGACCAGCTCGTCAGGGAGGCCGTGGCCGAGAAGAAAGCGGCCGAAGCGGCACAGCGAGAAGCG